TGAGGTCATTAAAAGATGGTAAATGATTAATATAGCTAGCAAAAGGCAAAAAAAATGATTTTGTATAATTTATTGTTAGTTTCTTATGCGTACACCAATCCACTATTCCTTTTATATCATTTTCGCATATTTTTTTTAATTCCTCCCATGAGTCGGCTTCATAATAAATGGCTGTGTCGTCGGCAAAACTCACTATTTGTCCTGCAGTCTTTTGTATGTATAAGTTGTTTACATATATTGAAAATAATGTGGGTCCTAAGACGGTACCTTGGGGAACACCAGTTTTTATCATTCTCTCTCCGCTAAATTCGCTGTTAACTTTTACTTTCTGATATCTGTTCTCAAGATAACTTTTGAAGAGATTTAAAGTCGGTCCTCGTATTCCCGTATCCTCCAAGGCCTCTAATAATAGTCCGTGATCTACGGTATCAAAGGCCTTTGCAAAATCCAGAAATACAGTTAGGGATGGCCTATTTGCATCTACCGATTGATAAATCTTTGTCAACAGTTCCAGAATTGCATCAGTTGTAGAGAGCCCTTCTCGAAACCCGAATTGTTTATTAGATATGATTTCGTATTTGTTTAAATAATCCTTTAATCTAGTGTTTAATGCTTTTTCTATAATTTTTGTAAACGTTGTGATTAATGTTATCGGTCTGTAATTTGTTAACATTTTCTTGTTGCCTTTTTTAAATATTGGTATTACCAATGATTTTTTAAGTTCACTAGGAAATTCCCCTTTTGTAATTATTTGATTAGTTAAATGTGTTAACAGTGGTGTAAATATTTCGGTGTTTTCTTTAATAATTTCAGTGGTAATGTTGTCTATTCCTGGTGATTTTTTATTTGGAAGTGATCTAATAATATTTTTTATTTCTAATTGACTCATTGGTAACAGGACCATAGAATTTTTTTGTACATTTCTGACAGGGGAATGTGTATATGGAATTCCCACTTTATCAGCAAGTGTTATACCTACTTCGGCAAAAAAATTATTGAATTCCTCTGCCAGTAATTTTGGCTCTGTTACTGCATGGCCATTTTCTGTGAGTATTTCTTGTATTTCATTATTGTTACTTTTTATATTATTACCTTGCAGTTCTTTAATAACTTTCCACAATCCTTTAGCGTTTTCTTTATTTTGTGTTATTTGTTTTGTATAATATTCTCTTTTTGATTTTTTAATAAGCCTATCTGTTACTAGCCTATAATTTAAAAAGATTTCTTTTTTTTCAATATTTTCTATGTCTTTTTTATAAATATTATGTAATCGATTTCGTTCTTTAATTGAATTAATAATACCCTTAGTTATCCACTGTTTTCTTTTCTTAGTTTGTTTTTTTTCATGAATGAGTTTTGTATTTTGATCCATGTATGTATTTATTGTATCTACTAGATAATTAATTTTTTGATTTGAATTATTTATGTCATAGAATGTTTCCCAGTTATGGCTTTCTATATTTTCTTTTAGGTTTATGTGATTTATTTTCTTAATGTAAGATTTTTTGTGTGCTGTTTCGGCTATTAAAGAGAGATATGCAATTGTAGCTTTATGGTCAGTAATTTGAGTATCATAAATTGCGGCTATGTGATTATCCGATTTATCGGAACTATAAAAAATGTGGTCTATACAACTTTTGGATTTCCCTTGTACTCTTGTGTATTTATTTATTAAAGATTCAAATTTATATTCACCTAAAATATTTAGATATGTAGATACTAAATCTGTCTGTTGTTTAATGTTTATATTAATGTCTCCTTTAAAAACATGTCTACTAATTTTTAAATTAATTTTTGATTCTTCCAGGTATGTCAGAAGATTATCAACAAATTCTTCTTCCTTAACTGGAGGTGGTTTGTATAAAGATGTGATTAGAATTTCGTTTTTATTAGTTAATTTAATTATTGTTTGAATTGCCTTACACTGTCCGATTTGTACTATTTTATGGTTACATTTTAAATGTATTTTAATAAAAATTACTACTCCATCATTGCGGTTAATATCTCCCTTATTGTAAATTGAATTGTAACCAGGTAATTGAAATAAACTCATATCTGGAATATTAAGTGTTTCTGTAAGTACTATAACGTCAAAAGAATGATTTAATTGTGATAAAAAAATGTTCAATTCATCGAAATTTTTATTTAAACTACAAATATTCTGATGGAATATTTTGAATGTATTGGTTGTAATTGTTTTGTGGTATTCATTAATTTCTTGGAGATTCATAAATTCTATAGTATTGCACGGTTCGTGAATTATATCTCTAATGTATGGATCCATTTGTGATATAACAGTATTACAATTTTTAATGAAATATACCTACCACAAAAATAAGAAGATTAAAAAGATTAAAAATAATTAAAAGATTTAAAAGATTAACAAAATTAAAAAGATTAAAATTATTAAAGATAATGAGGAAGATGGTATGGCTATTTATTATTTTTACTTCCCAATCTTGGTCGTAAATTCGGTTGAGGATCCCTATTGTGTTTTTCTGGTTTATTCTTTGGCGTTTGATTGGTTACTACTTCTTTTTGTGTTCTCTTCTCCTCATTAATGTCTGTTTTCTTGTCTCCAGAACCACTTGGTCGTTGAAGATTCTGAATTTCCTTAGTATTTACTGTCTTGGTACTTACTTCCTTGGTATTTACTTCTCTGGTAATAGTGGGCGTTTGAGGTGCACTATTTTGATGTTTGTTACCTTCTGGCTCTGTACTAGCGTCTTTAATTGTTAATGATTGTGCTGTGTAAGCTATATTATTAACATATAGCTTGTCACCCTTGATGTATGATGTATCAGACGTATTTGCGCGTGCTAATTTTAGATGTGTTGTAAGTACCTTATTCTCTTCTCTTTGTAATTCCGTTAGATCGCTAGTAATACGTATATTTGTGCCTTTTAGGTTTTTACAGTTTTTAAGGATTTCCAGTTTTTTTAGGTATGATATGAATTCGATTTTAATTGGACTTGAGTTAAATTTCCCTAGTTTGTATGAGTTATTAATATGACCGATGTTCAAGTCAACTTTTAGGAGGATCTTTAGTTTATTAATAATACTAACAAGATCGAAACCGTCACACTCTTTGGTGTTCTCTTCCTTTGGCTGTGGGAAGACTCCACCTCGTCGTTCTCTGCCAAGGTTTCTTCCTCTGTGGAGTACTCTTTGGTTTCCTTCCCCGCTTATTCACTTTTTCGGCAGGTTCTTGGTCATGTCTTCCTTTGACTCTGAATTTAAGTCTCCCTAGGTCATAGTAGGGGACATGTCCACCTTTTTAGCTTCTCTAGGGATTCAGGATCCATCGAGAAAACCCACGTTTGACCTTTTGTCGATGGGGTTTTACCCCACATCGTTCAAAGGTGTGTATTTAGCCCATCGTTGGCTATTTTTAGACTGTTAAGGATTTTATCCCCTTCAGGCTTTTGTTCCCTTTCGTCGGAGAATTTTATCGTGGGCCTTGGAGATCAAGTCTTGGAGTTTTCCTAGTCTCTCTGGACTCATTTTGATCTCCAGGTACCCTATTTCTACCACTCTAACCTTCACTGAGGTAAGGGTCTCTTTGAACGAAACTTCGTCCGTCTTGGCCTTCTTCCTCAGTCGGTTGGCCTATGGCGATGTTGCGTCTGTTGACATTGGGCGTTTTAGAGCTTTTGTGCCTTGCTTGGCAGCTTCTTTCGCCTTGTTGTTTTGACACTCCAGCCTCTGAGGCTTTTGTGACTTTGTTTGGGCGAATTGAAATTTTTCCTTGATCACCTGCCTTTTGCGGCTGTATAATCAAGGCCAGTTTTCAAGAGCTCCTTTAGCTCTCGATACACATACTTAAGGTATGCTGTCTTTCGATTCAAAATTCGTCCAAACCACGGATAACGTAATGCGGGAAGAACTTTCAAGTTATTTTGACACTTTTCAATTTATTAATGTAAAATAATTTATTAATTTTTTGTTTTTGTGTTAGTAGTGACTATATTTTCCTATATATAACAGGGAAGAACTAAATTAATGTTTAAAATGTCGGGCTGCGCGGTGGAGATATTTCCGATTGTCACAAAATATGGGTAAATTCTTATCAAAGAAAGGACAAACTTAATTGAAGTTGCCCTATCCACTTTGAGAAAAGTAGTTGTGAGATTTCTCTTAAACATAGGCTCAAGAAAAGGAAACTGAATTCCACCAGGTGCACGGGCCTCATTAAGCAAAGAAAATAAATCGGTATTTAAACATTTTAGCAGATAAAACAGTGGATTCAAGTACCAATACAAGAGTTCTTTTAAAGTAATGTCATGCATGAGCAGGACACGAACATATATAAGAATAAGATAAATGAACAGGAAAATTGGTTTTGAGTATTTTTTCAAAGTAAACTTGACAAAATATGTTTAAAGTTACCAAATAAAAAGTAATGTATTTGTGTACTTACTTTTTATAAATAATTTTTTTCTGCACACTTATTTTTATTTCACAGAATAAGAAAAGAGATTGCAAGAGAACTACCACGCCCACAAAGTACAAATTTGAGCCAAACTTGTATTTTTAGTCTATATCTTTTACTTATCTTATGGCCAGGTTATGGATTTTGTCACAAAATACCTATAATTTATGAGAAAAGTTAATATTTTTATTAGTATTATTTACCTTAAACCTTCATATTTGTAAAGGAATTTATTACAAAATAACCAATTGGAATATTGTCCATAGGTGGCGCCACCAATATAAAAGGCTTTCATCTTGAACCTTATGATTTTTGCTAACAGAACAAAGTGGTATCGAAAAAAGTTTGAGAGCCACTGTACCGAAATGTGAAGTCAATTTTAGTCAGGTGACAAAAGGACATTTTTTAAATTAAATTATTTAAAACTCGAATAATTCCTAAACTGCTACAGATAGAACTGAGTAGCCAAAAGCATTGGCTTTAGTACCAAAAAAATTTAGTTTCTGCACATACCATCAGAAAAACTTCAAATAAAATAACCAAATAAAAAATATATAAATTTAATTAAGCTTATCATACAAAAACATCCAATCTTTCGCTAACTATTCAACCTCCATGTTCTCCCTTGGTCCTCTATCGTCCGTTTTTAAATTCGTATACAACTTATACACCAAACTCTCCGTTTGACGACCCAAAAACTCCTGTCGCGGTTTGATTTTTTCTTGCGACGTAAAAATCTCCAATAAACTCCTCTGCGTGTTGTAAATGCCGCCGTTTCTGCTCGACGAGTTCCTCGAAATGGCGGGGACGATGCTCGTCAAAGGGGGCGGCGACATGGGCGAGTCTGTGGTGGCTCTGATCACCGACGCTCTCGGAATTTCTTGGTCGGATTTACCGGCGCCTGAAAATGTTAAATAAAACAGCAAATATTCCTATACTATAATTAGTAAATACAGGACAGGACATGTTTACATAAAATTGGATACTATTTCCTTTTTACTTTCCTGTCTGTATACAGAATAAAAATATAGGAATTATGATTTTTTTTTTGACTAAAGGTGGCCCTACACGCTAAGAAACCTTTGATATCTATAGGGAGATTCAAAATATCAAAAAACAAAAAAAAATTAATTTCTTGAAATTCATTCATTTCTTGTCTGATATTTTGAATCTCCCTATAGATATCGAAGGTTTCTTTTCAACATTTTTGTCTAATTTTACTTTCTATCTGTTACCATTTAAGAAATAGCAATACTGTCCCTATCAAATAGTAGGGACCCTGTATAAAAAAATGTTTTCGAGTAAAATGTGTGTGGAAAATGAACGTATTTATCTCATCCTCTAAATTTACGGGGGTGATACAATAGGTCAGAATAATCGGAAAAAAGCCTATAATAACTTTAAGTAAGACAGGAAAGTCGTATGTTGGACACATCAGATATTTAACAATAGATGTGTCTGGCCACATCTTGGGAACTGTTTACCTGGACACTTTCGGGGATTTTTTTACAAAATCGTCAAAAAGAAAATATTTAAAAAAAATTTTAACTTTGTAACAGGGCGTCGTGCTATATAGCGTGTCCCAAATTTTAGGTCAATGTATAGAAATCTCAGTAAGAGTTATAGGGTTTGTTAAATGAGAAAAATTTTACATAAACAGATTCTTAGTTTAGATCAACCTTCAAAATTATAAAATTAATACTAATTTAAAAAAAATGTCAAAAATGGCATTTCATTCCTTTTAAGAAATGTAATCAAACACAAATTATACCATATTGTAGAGAATAACTTTTTTGACATCTCCACAAACACTATAAAATGAAAGGAAAGAAAATGGTATTTTTGACATTTCTTAAAATTACTCAAAAACTAGCAAAAATTTAAAAATCTTGAAGGTGCGTCTAAACTAAGAATGTTATTATGTAAAACTTCTCCCATTTAATCAAGCCTATAACTTTTATAGTTACAGAGATTCCAATAAATCAAGCTAACATTTTGCACACCATGTATATCATTTTCATAATAATGGTGTGATGTTTCATTATTTTGCTGAGTTAGTTGTAGGGGTTGCAAAGGAAAGAAAACATGTAAATATGTCAAGTTTTGAAGGAAATTCGTGGATTAGGAAAAATGTTGTCCCTTCCCAGACAAGCACAGTTTTTGGAGTTCAAATTTTCTCGTAAGGGAGGTGAATTAAAGAGAGTATTATTATATTATTATTATTATCATCATCTTTGAACGCCTGTAGCTTGGTGACCATAAAGAAATAGGTATTTTTCCATAGGACATTTTGTTGTTTAAAATATGATACTTAAGTATGTTGTACAGTACATCATACAACACCCTGTACTAGACCAAAAAATTTTTGAAAAATCTGCTTACATGGGTGGAACAACCATTCAAACTATTTTACGAAAATATTATTGAAACATCAAAAACTAAGAGAAAATCCAAGAAAATTACAAAATATAAAGTTATATTTTTATTATATTTTATTAAAAAAAACTGATATTTCATTTCAAAAACAACCTGTCTATTTATTAAAACTAAAATAGTTAAGTTTTCGCAATATTTATATTGCTTTTCTCTATGAGAAATTCTTACTTTAGTAGTAAACTATCGACATTCATTTACAGAATTACTCAAAGTGTTCAAAACGTTTTTTTCACCTCCTAAAAGTAGCTTAGATTGTTTCTTATATAAGAGATTCAATTAATTTCATCAAAAAGAATGGAATGCTTACCCATGCTATCCAGTTGATGCAAAGCATCATCCAATTCGACCTTATCTGCAATTTTGTCCTCATCAAAATTGAATTTATGGCATTCCAGTAGACACGTATAAACGTTCCTGTGATTCTCCGAATGGAGATTATTTTTGACTAGCGTTTCCAATTCGTTCCACATGGCTTTGTATTGTTCCTCGCGCTTTTGTCCTTTCACCCTTTGGCCGCTGTTTAACGGATGCAGAGGCTCCATCTTGGATTCCAGCGATATCAAATTGTAAATCACTTTTTTGCATTGGAACAGCTCCTCGTCCGTCATTTTGTCTTTTGTTATCAGCGTCGGTAGAGGGTCAAAATACTAAAAAAAATTATTTCCATTTTTGCCTAGACTATATTTTGGAATTATAGACCAGGAAAATTTTACATAATATAAAAAATTGAAAACAAAATATTCTAAAATTGTAGCTGGTATATCGAGAGTTTCAATTAATTAGATAGATTAAAAGTAGAATCTTCAATAAAAAAAGTTTTGTTACGCTTACGAACGTTTTTAAAATAAAAAAGCAGTGTGGAACTGATGGTTGGAGGCCAATATTTAGTTAACCTACTAAATCTAGTTTTTTACTTCTATATTTGCCCAGACTATATTTTGGAATTATAGACCAGGAAAATTTTACACAAAATAAGAAATTGAAAACAAAATAAATTCTAAAATTGTATCTGGTGTATCGAGAGTTTCAATTAATTAGATACAGATTAAAAGTAGAATCTTCAATAAAAAAAGTTTTTTTACGCTTACTTACGTTTTTAAAATAAAAAAGCAGTGTGGAACTGATGGTTAGAGGTCAATATTTAGTTAACCTACTCAATCTAGTTTTCTACTTCTATATTTGCCCAGACTATATTTTCAAATTATAGACCAGGAAATTAACATAAATTTGAAAATTAAGGCGAAATAAAAATCGATAAATATAACTAGAGTATTCGGTGTCCCAAATAATTATATACATACTAATAGTAGAATCTCTTATCACTAAAAAAAATATTTTTACTTTTACTTACGTTCTTCAAATTAAAAATCAGTGTGGAACTGATGGTCAGAGGCCAGTATCTAGTTAATCTACTCAATCTGGTTTTCATCTTCTGTATAGGTTGCTCGGGTTCTTCGTTGCCAGGTTTCACCTTTATTGGCAACAGGGTATTCTGCTTTATCAACATGCCAAAATCGGTAATGCGATAATCTGTTACTCTACCTCCGCAACCTTCCGATATTGATGGAGGGTCTTCCAAAACTGACCTAAAAAATCGTTACGGCTAAAAGGTTGGGGCTGCAACAACTCTAATAACCATAGTTCTTATCTAACCGCATAATCATTGAATAAATAAAAAACTTATATGAAGTGATATATGTGGAAGTCGTCCTGATTTACTTCAATTACATATTCTTGTTAATTTTACCTGGCTGTACACAAAGTGTGTATAAAAATCTCTCCTCCATGAGCAGCCAAAAGATGGCTAGTGATTTTCCCGCCCGCTTTTCTAGGCATTTCCAACATTACGGATCTGCCATTTAGTAGAAAGTTGATCAAACACAACGACGGCCTGGAATTAACATCTACAGGCGTAATTCTGTGCATGCAAGTACAATTTTGCAATTCCGAACCGGTCACGCCTCTAGGTGTGCACCATTTTAATGTCGTCTGAAATTACGTTAAAACAAGTTTGTGTCTTATTTTCAGTATGTAAATTATATGTAAATTGTATGTAAATTGTATGTAAATTGTATGTAAATTGTATGTAAATTGTATGTAAATTGTATGTAAATTGTATGTAAATTGTATGTAAATTGTATGTAAATTGTATGTAAATTGTATGTAAATTGTATGTAAATTGTATGTAAATTGTATGTAAATTGTATGTAAATTGTATGTAAATTGTATGTAAATTGTATGTAAATTGTATGTAAATTGTATGTAAATTGTATGTAAATTGTATGTAAACTGTAATATATTTAACTATAACTAACCACTAACCTACCGTTTCATACTCCATTCCCTCTTTGATGGTCCTGATGGCGGCCGAATCGGAAGCGTTACCTTTCAATATGGCGGTATGAGCGGAACTGGCGTGAAAAATTTCGACGTCGTAATTCGCCGACGACGAAGCGTTCTGTTCCTCCTTCATAGGTATGCCGGTCACCGTGGTGCTGGCCAAATCGTAATGCTCCAGAATGAGCGAAGATAGCTTGTTTGGTATCAGCGGCGCTTTGATAGAATGCACCTCGGTGGTAAGTATCTGCGATAGACTTTTCGGAGGATGGTTGTTTACATGCGAGTCTATATTGATAGGAAACGTATTGATTATAACCAAATGGCAGTGGTGTATCGGTAATAACCTATCCGACGTGGTCGCCATTTTATTCTGCTGATTTAACACGGTCAGAAAAATATCCTCCAAACGTTTCATGCTGTCGTTATCACGAGCGGAAGTTATGCAAATGACCCTGGTGTTGTTTAATACTTTCGCGCCGTCGATGCCGTTTCTGGATTTCTGTAGTTGTAATTCTGTAGCTTCGCTTAAAGCTTCTATCGCGGCCCGTAGGCCATGTAGTACCGTGTGATCTAATGGAGTACTGACGGCTCGTAGAGGCGGGGGAGGCGGTGGAACCCCTATTAGGGACATTCCGTTCATAATCTAAGATACATTTTGTTAATTTAATTGTATTCGACATAGTAAAATTTAAACAGTAACCTTACTTACGTGTGTTAAATTTTGCTGTGTAGGATTCCATGTGTTCAAAATGTGAGCGACAGTATCGCTGGCTATAAATCTGACCTGCAAAATTGTTCACCTTAATACTTTGACCTAATGTCATTTGCTAAATTTATTAATATTATGTAAAATATTGAAATAGTAAAATGAATACACAATTGTTGATTTTATATTATATTTATTATGAGTGTGCTTAGCCATATTGAAGTTGAAATGAATAATATAACATAAGAAATAGCAGGAAAAGAACTTGAAAAATATGAAAAGACTAATGTTTGTCAGCAAAAGAAAAACTACTCTTTACCAATTTTTTTTATATATTGGTATATAGCTTATGATCAATTTGCGGAAATTGTTTTATCCTATTTTGAAACTGCCTTTCCAAAAAAGTTAGTTACATGAAGACCCGAAACTAAAAATAAAAAGCATAATAATAACTATAGGTGGAATGCAGATTTATTGGAATTAAAAAATAATGCGTCATTATATAATACTCTTGCTAAGCACGATCGACGATATGTTGAAATTAGTAAAATGTTAAATAATACTTATAAGCTTAGGATAGGACAGGCCTCTAAGCAATACTATGATAATCTCATTTTAAGCTCTGAAAATAAGACTAAAGCTACCTGGGAAATGATTGGGCAATTGCAAAAAGGGAACAATAAATCAAATAACCAACTTATATTATTGTTTTGTCTATGTTAAGCTTTACTTTTTAAATAATTTTAAATCTGTCTAATTTTTATAACAGCTTCTTGTAAGTTTACATCACTAAAATATATAATAGTTTCATCCGAAAATAAATGAAATTCATATCATTTATATAAACTGCAAATAAGAGAGGTCGTAAAATACTACCTTGAGGTACACCATGATAAACAGTTACACTTAATGACATTTTCTTGTTCCATTTTATAATTTGACTATGTTCACTAAGGTAATCCTTCAACCAATTAAATACTCCTGTCTTTTATTCCACATTAATGTATTTATTTCAATAGAATTTTCATCTCGAAAGTTCTTTTGAGATCTAGGAATACAACTCAAGTAAATTTTCCTTTATCCATTGACTCAATTCACTTATAGTCAGATGTTTTTCCCTAAATCCCGAATGATTTATAAAAATTACATTATTTTTGTTAAACTACAATTTTTCTATAATTTTTCTTCACTTGGAACTGTTTATAGGCCGAAATTCACAGCTTCTGTTTGTTTTACTGATTTTTTTATAGGTGTCATGTTACTGGTTTTTATCTCATGAGGAACTTTGCCAGTGTCTAAAGAAATATTACTGAAATACAATGACTAAAAATGATTCTTTTATAAATTTGCTACTTAATATTGATATCATAGATCCTTTGTTATTTAATTCAGGAATAATTTTTAGTTTATGCAAATCTAATCATTTAAAATATTCCAATGAAGTCTGGAATCCCGATGTTCAAGACAATTTCATCAATACTGTTTACAAAATAACTATTAGAGTTTTCAATAATATCAGTTCCATTGGTATACACAATCTTCTGACCATTACATTATCAATGTGAAATGTTTTTGACTCCCCTTTACTAATGTTTTGTCCTTGAAACGTAATCTCTAGGCATTAGGATAAAATAGAATATAATTTATTTATCTCATAATGATGACAGAAGACAGGTCAAATATAAACAAATTAAAATGTCTAGCTAAAACTAGAACATTTAGCTAAAAAAAATAATATTATTCAATAACAAATACATAATATACAAACATGAGATACAAAAATATTAGAAAATCTAAAAACACACAGATATGTGAAACAATCAAAAATTAGGATCAAGTATATGTTACAGTTTAGACATGATTCAACGAATATTTTCAAATCAATAAGATAGCTTTTAGTTGTCTCTTTAAATTTATGCACTAAGGCAATATCTTTAAAATATTGTGAGATACTATTATAAAGTTTAATTCTAATTTGTAAATAATTGTATTTATTTATATGCACTGAAGAGATTAAATCCAAAATATAGAGGACATACACAGATAAAATTCTCAAGTCAATAAAAACAGATCAACATTAATCTACAAATGAGATGTTTGAAATAAACATTTGAAATGTTTTCTGTGACAAAAAAACATCTCAAGCTATGCTAGAATCTAATATGAAAAATGTATATTAAGTGTTTCATTTTTACCCCATGATTATGTCTCATATTTACCCAAATAGCTGTCTCAAATTTTCCCCAGAATTAGAACTAAAAGAGTTAGCCAAATCAGGTGGAGGAAAATAATATCCTGAAACGTAATCTGCAAAAATCGAACAATCAAATTGAAGAATATGAAAATTTACTCATGGAAAAAAATAATTTTATAGAAAAATTACAAACAGATATAATAACATTAAATGACTTAAGTAAAAAAAATGGTAACAGCAATCAAGATTTTAGAGAACGATTATATAACATGTGTAAGGGACATTAACAAAATTAAAATTGAGTATGAAAATGTTATAGGGAATCTAAAGGAAAAATTGAACGAATTAGCAAGTTTTAATAAATGTGCGAATGGTAAAAACATTTTAATGATTAGTGAATTAATCGGAATGAAAATTAAAAATGAAGAATTGACAGAAACGATTCAAAGGCTATCAGAAGGTAATAAAGTCTACAATTTGCAATTAAATAAACTGCAGGTTGGTATTAAAAAGTATGGAAAACAAACACATACTCAAATCAATAATGGTCAAAAAAAGATACTTATATTAATTGATGAAAGAGGTAGAGGTCATATATTTTAAATTGTATTGTTTTTATGGTGCTGTATTTTTATGTGGAGATTTTAACATTGATTTTCTAACAGATTCTTATAATAAATATCTCCTTACTGATCTTATTCAGTTTTATCCTAACTTGTCAGAATCACGGCCACACGCGTGTATGTAGAGATAAAAACAACAGCATTACTAAATCTAAAATAGACCATTTTTTAACAAAGTTTCCCATATATACTGAAACTGTGGTTGATTTTAAACTTGGTGATCATTTTGGCCTGGATGGAGACATCACATGTGCACAAAGCAAAATTAACAATGAAATATTAACTTTTAGAGATCTTTCTTTTACAAATTTAACAAATCTTAATGCAAAACTAAATAATGAATATTTTTTGCCTGTGTTTGAGTTAGACAGTACTGATGATGCTTTTGATATATTCTTTAGAATCATTTCACATCATATTGATGTAACTTGACCCCTTGGCAGAACAAAAATGGTTAAAAACAATACATCAAGGCAGTGGATAAACAAAAACATACAGGTAATGTGACCACTCAGAATTGTTAAGAAATTACAAATCTAAAAAAAAAATCAATTAATAAATGTAACTAAAAAGGATCATTATCAAAAATTGTTAGGTAACAAAAATCCTCAACAAAAACAAAAAAATATATGGAATACAGTACACTCTATAAACAGCAAAAGAAGATCTATAAAGTCAAAACAGATCAATGTTGACGACATATTAATATGTGACAAAAAAACTGCAGCAAATTATTTTGCTGACTATTTTATAACAAAAATCCTCAATAAAAACAAAAAATTATATGGAATACGGTACACTCTATAAACAGCAAAAACAGATCTATAAAGTCAAAACAGATCAATGTTGACGACATATTAATATGTGACAAAAAAACTGCAGCGAATTATTTTGCTAACTATTTTTCAACCATAACACTGTTAGAGATAATTTTGACAATACAAATTTTCATAACTACACAACCATGAATGTAAAAAATACATTCTTCTATGATGGAACAGATTCCCAAGAAGTAACTGAAGTCATTAGTTCTTTAAAAAATACTAATGCAAAGGGTGTAGACTGCATTGCAACTAAAATAATTAAATCTATTGGTTATTATATAGCAGAACCAATTGCATATCTAATCAATGTCTGTAAAAAATTGCATATTCCCCAAAGAACTTAAAACTGGTATATTTATCACCTATTTTTAAAAAAGGTGATTCAAGGGCTCTTGAAAATTATAGACCTATCACAGTGCCTACTGTTCTCTGTAAATTTTTTAAAAATGTATATATAAAAAATGTTATCAATTTTATTTAAATTTAAAAATATTACAGATCAACAACGTCGGTTTCTTCCTGATAGGTCAACAAAAAGTGCTACTACTGCCTTTTTTTAACTATGTCCACAATCAGCTGGATAGAAAAAGGTTACTGGGTGCGCTCTGTTTTGATCTATCTAAAGCTTTTGATACCATTGATATCTCAATTATTATTGTAAAATTAAGTGCTTTAAATTTTAGGGGTAACTTTTTGCAATGGATTAATTCCTACATAGATTCTTGTAAAATGTCTGTTAGAATCAATGGTTGCTTATCAGAAGTAAAGGACATGGATCGCGGTGTTCCTCAGGGATCAGTATTGGGTCCACTTATATTTCTGCTTTACATAAACGACTTGCCTAACTTCATCTCATCCAGTCATATTTCAATATATACAAACGATACCAATGTTGCTGTCTATGCAGAATCACCTAAGGAACTTCATTCCAAATTGTCTCTTGTTGCTAGAGAATTTACTGCATGATGTAAAAGAAATGCAATAATTGTTAACTCCAACAAAACAGTATGCATTCAGTTTCATTCTAGATCAAGAATAAGTGCAGATTTTTTAATACAAATAAATGATGATTTTATCCTACTGTCCATGAAAACAAAATTCCTAGGACTTCTTATAGATGCAGATATGAGCTGGAGTTCCAATATTGACTGTTTGTAAAAAAATAAATAGTGCCTACTATGCAATTCTCCATTTAAAAAATATGTTGGACACCAAACAGCTTCTTTAAGTTTACTATGGGATGGCATATTCACATTTAGCTTACAACATATTGCTTTGGGGAAATGTGACCGGTACTTTAAAAGTCTTTGTTTGTCAAAAAAGACTAATAAGATTAATTTTTAACCTAGATGCTAGAAGTACCTGTAGAGATCTTTTTAAAAAATATAATATACTATTAAAGCAGTCATTTGTACCAATTATGACAATGCTTAAAAATGTCTCTTTTTTTGTAATCTTTTATATTTATTTGATTTGTATTCACTGTTTTTTATAATATCCATGCATATTTGTCACCTTTTCTATATTATTAATGATTTTTTGGGTTACTCTGTAAAGGGATTTATATTTGGACAATAATTATAATATTTAATTTAGCGACAAGAATTTTATAATAATAATTTAATATTTTTAGGGAGTCCATTTTCACCTTGAGTTTTTTCAAATCAACTTTTAGGACACTTAGTCCTGTTTCTTCAAATGTTTTGAATAGTTTTTCATTTTCCTGTTGAATGAGTTTTGTAATTTTAAATCTTTTATTTTCTCAAAAAGTCCATCTTTATAAATGTTGACAATTTTTGTTTCAACACTTTGTTGTTTACCATCCAAATTAGAGGGGTTGCATTAATAGCATAGAAATCATTTGCTGTTGAAGTCCTTCAATTCATCAGCACAAAAATTATGTCAAGTTGGCATAATCCCTGTACAACCAGCCTGCATATTTGTTGAATATAAGGTTGTAATTGCTTTTTTATAACACGCATTTGATACATGATATTATGGATAGTAAAACAATTTAGAATATTTAAATATTAGTCATACCATGTATATTTTATTGAAATATTGGCACAATTTCTTCTTAGCTGCAATACTATTAGGAGGCCAGTTTTTCAGTATTTTTGTTTTTACTTGGAATAAAATGAAATAAATTAAAAACTAATTTACTGCAATAATTATTCAGATTACAAAAGCAGTTTATTTCGATCACTATATATTTGGAGAGCATAGTTTTCACTCTTTCTATTGGTATGAATTTTAACTCTGTCTTTGCTGATATTCCCACTGCGTTTTAACTGGAGCACCTATATTAAACCCTCGAGCACGTTAAGATTTTACCTTTTTAGTAAGGTTGGGAGTCAAGATGACTTGACTACCTATGTTAATTATTGATTGTCACTATTTTAAAATAGTTATAAAATAATTAAAATATAGTTTTTCAAAAACAATATAGTTAAATATATAAATACTGTACCAATTTTCCTTGCGGGAACAAATCCCATACGATCCTGCAATACTCGATGGCCGATTCGACACTGGACGTCCACAAAGACTTGGAAATGGGGGTCATAGGTATGAAGCCGGGGGTTCGACTTTTCAAAAAGTCGAACTCAATAGGGTTTTCGCATGATATTCCGAAGTATGGCGTGTGATCGAGAACGAATATCGTTTTGTGGTTTGCTGGGTATAGTTTATTCGTTATTGGAAACGACATTTTAATGTTTATATTTCGTTTTTGTAGTAATCATAATATTGTAATACTTATGAATTTATGTAACATAACCTTATTTATCAGTCTTCTTTTTTAGGTTATTCGAATGGACTTTTACGTTTTAAGAAAGAGGAATTGAAGTGTCCTTGTACTTTACTGGAAACCAGTAGTCTAGGTAGTGTGCAATACAAATGATCTTACATTAACATTTACTCATGGGTGGCGTTATTTTGTATATTACAAGGGGTTCTTATAGAAACAAAATAAATATAAATTTTAGGTATTTAATTTTGCCTCAGAAAGCTTAAAAGAGATAGTTACATGATTTTGTTGTTTAATAATACTTTATTCAGAACAAAAATTTTAATTTATATACACAGTTTTACCCTGCGATTAGGTAAGTACGATGATTAAAAATAACATAACTTTTAATTATAAATGTCTTTTGACATACCTATAAATCTTCAGCATCACTGTCAAAATTTGTGTCACTAGCGTCGCTGTCATCATTAAGGGATATAATTATAGGGTTAATTTCGTTTATCCTGTTTTCACGTGCCCACCAGTCGTCAATTAATTTATCACATTTTTGAACACTTTTTTGCCAAATTTCTGGGGTTGATGTTTCCAGTGCTTGTTTCCATATTTCCCTTACTACTTCGTCGCTGTAATCATTAATTCCAATATGATTGTCATAATACGTTTACATATACCCTAAATGTATTCGACGGGGTTAAACTGACAATGGTACGGTGGAAGCCGTAACACATCATGTCCATAACTATGTATAACTTTATCTACCATATAAATTTGTGGTGGTTCATGCCGTTTCGCTAAAGTTAACAACTCAGATTTAAGGGCGTACTGTGGAAATGCAACATTTTCGTTATGTAGCCATTCTTGTATTTTGGCTACAGTCCAATTCTGTCTTGGCGGTTTGTTTAAAAGTTCTGTGTGATAGCTCGCATTATCTAACACTATAACAGACGGTTCACTTAAATTTGGTAATAGTTTTTCATTTAACCATTTGATAAACATATCCGAGTTCATGTTATCGTGGTAGTCTTCTGATTTTGATTTAGAGGAAAATATTAATCCTGCACCATCCACAAATCCATTCTTTCCACCTGCGTGCAAGATTATGTGTCGCTTTCCCTCACCATTAGTATGTTTTATTGATTTTATATTTTCATCTTGCCATATTCTTTTCGTCCCACCTTTCGAAAATATCCAGGTTTCATCCAAATATATAAACGAAGCTCCATTCTCTTTTAAACGAGTGTATTCTCTTAAAAAATGTATTCTTTTGTGAACAACATTATTTTTTTCACATAAAGCTTTTCTATTATCTTCTTTCTTAAATTTGAAACCTATTTCCTTAAGCAACTTTCAAAGACTTGTTCTGCCAAATTCACAAATTTGTATTTCTCTTAAGTTAGCCAGCAATGTGTCTAAGTTGACATGTTCCTTTTTCGCACGTATTTCATACACCATATCACGAATACGAAATTTTGTCCCATCAGATATATCCGACGTTTTCATTTTTTTGCGAGGTTTGTATTTTTTCTTTTTTTTTGCTCTCTCCGCTTTTGACGTTTATCAAAACATATTTTAATTTTGAATCACTAATACCGAGAGCTGTTCAGACGCGTTCATGCACTCACTACTGGCTTTAAAGGTCCTCCGTTATCTTTTTCCGCCGTAAAATACTTATGTAGATTACAAATTAAGTCATCTACACGTAACACGCGCTTCGGCATTTTCAGTTTCGAGTTTCGACATACGTTCTCTTCGAAATCCAGAACTGAACTAAATAATTTAGCGCAATTATAGTCTATTTTTATGTATGAGAGAGTAATAAAACAGCATTTCTAATGCAAAACTTAGTATGGTCATTTTAAATATTTTTACAGAATAATCTAAATATTTCTTCTTTAGAAAAGAATTTCTGACAGTAGACAAAGTTCTTGCCACGGTTCGAGATGATAAGGATTACCCTGAAATGAGTCGAAGCACACTATGGAAACTTTTAAAAGAAATAGGTTTTCTATGGAAGAAGCATTCCAGAAAGTATATTTTAATAGAACGAAGCGATATTGTAGTATGGAGAAGAAATTACCTAAGGACTATAAAAGAAATGAGAAACCAAAGAAGAAATATATTTTATTTAGATGAAACATGGATCAACGAGGGACATAAACCAAATAAATTTTGGCAAGATGAAACTGTTACAAGTCGAAGACAGGCTTTTTTAAATAATTTATCTACTGGTTTAAATCCACCATCAGGAAAGGGGCGCAGACTAATAATAGTACACATCGGTAGTTCAAACGGTTTTGTTAAAGGTGGTTTATTGATTTTTGAATCTACTCGTACCGGTGACTACCATGAGGACATGAATGCTGATGTCTTTAAAGAGTGGTTTGAACAAATTATAGATCTTCTTCCTCAGAACTGTATAATAGTAATGGATAATGCAAGTTATCACTCGAGACTTATAGAAAAAATGCCCACAACCAAGTGGTTAAAAAAAGATTTACAGAATTGGCTAAATTCAAAGAATATTAAGTTCCATCCCGGTTCTGTGAGAAAAGAACTGTATCATTTGTGTTCCCTTCATAAAGAGAAATTCAAAAAATATGAAATTGATGAAATTGCAAAAAATCGTGGGATGACGGTGGTTAGTTCACCACCATATCATTGCGAAGTAAACCCGATTGAACTGATATGGGTACAGATAAAGGGAGAAGTTTCAAGAAAAAATAATTCTTTTAAAGTGAGTGATGTTAAACAGTTGTTTTTGGAGGCTGTAAATAATGTGAAGTCTGAAAACTGGGAAAAGGCAGTAAATCATACGATTAAAGAAGAAGAGAAAATGTGGAAGTTGGACAATATTACTGATCAAATAATCCAGCCACTCATTGTAAATATTGGTTGCGACAGTTCATCTTCTGATTTTGATTCTGATTTGGATTTGTAGGTAAGAAGTAGTTTTTATATTAAAATTATTATTTATGAACGTAACGTTGTTTAAAAGTCAAAGTTTAAACCCTTATACCTACATAACCCGTTTGACACAATGTTCTTAACATACCTTGTGGAAAAATAAAACATTTTAGAAAAAATTGCACTTTTTTACCTTCAGCTGTTTAGAAGTTATAAGCAGGTTAATTAGGTGAAAATATAAGTGTATACTCGAGGAATAACTTTTTACTAAAAGAAGTGATACGCCTATGGATCACGAACGCTTTATTATTTTAATACTCTCTCATACATAAAAATAGACTATAGTCCTATAACATCAGTACAAAAATAGAACATTTAATCTTAATTTTATACCTGAGAAGGGGACTTCCGAAAATTCCTGACCATAAAGCGTTTATTGTATTCGGGGAAAATGGTATTACCATAAACAATGTCCAAAACAAAATTATAAATATTTTTATTTTTTCGTGTGTTATTTTAGTAATTTAATTTTAATAAACATAGTTACATACTATATAAGTATTTAATAATTAAAATATATTCACCCTCTACCCACCGGAGGACTACGCTTATTTTACTCAACTACCTGATGCGAAATTATCCTGTAGACCGACTCAGTCGTGCATCTGTTTCTTAATCCGATATGGGTATAAATTCAGTGAATGATGTATAAATCTCCTTTCAGTGTATGACATCGCTAATAATATGAAATATATCATACCTGTTACTAGAATTAGCTGTTAGGACGAACCTAACATTGTTTTTGTTCTAAATTCCACCCTAAAAGGCGCAAATTTTCCATTATTTAAGCTAATAGTGAACAAAAACTACTTCAAACTAGAGTTTGTGTGTCGAATTGATTTTTTAAGAATTTGTCACTGCTACTGTCAATTCTAGACATTCTTCAAGTTGTATGGGTATGAAGGTAGGTATCAGTTTTCCAATTATGGGAAAGTTGGTAAAAAACAAATTCAAATTTTATACTCATAGAGCCATTTATTAATAATACCTAAGTAATATGTATATAATTATTTATAAAGTTATTAACATTTCATGTGTATTCACTAATTCAACTAATGTCAATAAAATATGTACAAATTTGTTTAACTATATTCCCAATTCCCTAAAATTGACATATTCTTACAACAGTAACTATTATTTACAAAAAAAAAAAAGAAACGTCCTTTTTTACTTTTTTTGAACGTCGACTCTCTCTCTCTCTCTAGCTCTTTGTCTGAACAATTTTAACAGTCCTAAACCTGTTAAATTCAGTAAAAATATATATAATATGTAGTTTTTAAATAAGTGTATAAATACAATCATGAAGGCAAGTAATAAGTAATAAACTATTCACTTGACGCAACTAAACATACGGGGCGAGTCATCGTGTGCGCATTCTCTTAAATTTCACTTTGAACAGAATCCAAACCAAACGTTAAAATAATTCAACTTCCTCCTTTAAATATATATATATATATAAAAAAAGAGAACACTCACAAATGACCAACCCTGTATTTGAGAAGAATGAAGATGACGAAATACTGTTAATTTCACAATTTATATAAAAAAAAAATCATTACTATCAATGATTTTTTCCAATGAAAATGAAACACATGAATAAGAAAAGACAGAAATTTTGAGATCTGCGACAACCAAAAGACAACTTTTCGAGCTGTCCGGTATATTTTCGAGATTTATCGTTTCGTAAAAGTTAAATTACGTATTTAATAAGATGCTGCAGGCGTCAGTAGCCATGTGTCACAATTAACAGCTGCCATTTATCATAATTGACAGCTATAAAGAGCAAAATAAATCTCAAAAATATACCTAACAACTAGTAAAAAAAAAAGAATCACATAACATTGTAAGACACAACTTTCCGTTTTGGAAGAATTAAAACGAGCAAAAATCACTTTTCCCGCGTTTTTTTAAATTTAAGATCATGCATTTGTTTTTCTTCTTCTACTTCTTGCTTTAAGTTTTAATCTGAGGCAACCCAATAATAAGATACGTTTTTTAAACAGTTTTTTTTGGCCCCAGTAATCTCTCTTAAAATACATTTAAAAGGTTAGTGTTTAAACATTTAAATACGTACATTTTGGTTATTTAAAATTTGTTTACTAGCCTCTACGTTTTATCGTTTTAAATTGCGTTCCGCTTCAATTTCAGAAAACTCGGACTATTTAGAATATTTTAGAGTTGTCAAAATTGCGCTATCGCTCAATAAATATTCAATTAACAACTTTTTTTACAGTTTCTGAAATTCCAAGCGGCATATCGATAAAAACGACAAAAAAAATTGAATAATTTTGTTTCATCCTGTATTTTTTTTTCTTATTTACAAATTGTTCTAAGTTCATTGGCGATATAAGTATCTCTTATATTTTTTAGTTTCGGTTATCCACAATGCCTTCACACACACCATCAAGTAACAGCAGTAGTACGCCCTTCCCGTCTCTTTGGCAAAGTCTTAGAATATTTACGCAAAACTTTGATTATATTGCTGTATTCAACAGAAATAAAGTCCAAACAGAAACAGAAATTATCACGATTTACGCCATTTCAAAAGGGTAAAAGTTAACGGATGAAATGTGACAGATGTGATAAGTAATAGATGAAATGTGACAAGTGACAGATGACAAGTGGAATACGACAGATGAAATGTAAGTTGATAGACGAAACGTCAAAGAAGGTATAATAGGGAACTGTCAGTTATGGGAGACTTAAACATAGGAGGGAAGAGACAAATAATTTTATTGTAATTAAGCACATAAAATGTATCAATTTTAGAGCACCTGTACGGGTATCCATTAAACTGTACCCCGAGATGGATTGTCGAAAAATTATTGAAAAGATGACAGGTGACGGATGAAATATAATGGCAAAACTGCCATTTAACCTAAACCATTTTAAAGCGATCAACCGATAAATTTTCGGTATTTACCGTTTTAATTAAAGCGATGTTGGTTATCCTTAATTACTTTCTATAACGTCATATTTAAACCCTTTGAAACGTCATTAATTATAACCGGTAAATACCCGAGTCCAGACGTGGGTTTTATAATGACAAGTGGAAGTGACATAGAGTTAGTGGTTTTTGGTTAGATTATAGAATTCGCTCAGTCAAAATAAATTGCAAATTACATTACACTTTTATTTAAGTATATAGAAATACCTACGAAAATAATCAAATGCTTCTGACGCCATAAAGTCATGTAAAACTGTTCCTTATTAAATTCTAACATCCAGTCTACACAAATATAAATATTTTTGGTGCCATAACTAACAAGGTAGTGAATTAAATTTGTTATATCCAAGGGAAAATCTCACTAATAAAAAATTTCTACGAATTTTCCTTAATTTCCACTTTAGAGTCAACTTCGAGATGCTCGAAGAGAATCAATAAAAATTAACCTAGAAATTAAATGTCAAAATTTCATGTCAAAATCCTTAAAAACGATTTAACGTTAATACGTTACAATAAGCGGTCATCTTTTTATGGCTTTAGTCACGTGATTTTAAGGTTAACCAAGGGTGTAACCAAAGTGTTAACTGGTTCATCGCTTTAAAACGGTTAAAGTGATACCAAATTTGACAATTGTAACTTAATTTAAAAAATTGACAGAATGTGTAACTGTACAAAATTACAGTGTCTATCATGATGTTATCAAGTCCCAAAAGTAGACACTAGAAAATACAAAATACGACATTTGACAGGCAAAAGATGATTTTACATACATTTAGAGTATAAGTCTTTTAATTAAGGAATAAAAGGCGACATTTGACAGCTTAAAAGAAATTTGAAAGGTGACATTTGACAACTGAAAGGTTCAAACAACTGTACATAACTAAAATTGTACGAATTTTTACATACATTTGAAATATAGGACGATATTTGTCGGACTTCAAATAAAGGAATGAAAGGTAACATTGGACAACTAAAAGAAGACATCTAAAATTTGAAAAGTGGCATTAGACAGCTGAAAGGGGCCATCTGAAAAGAGGGATACTTATGTGCAAACTCAACACGTTACATGTTGAATGGAGAGAGAGACATTACATAAGTATCAGTCTGTTGAATGAAGATAGGCGTCTCGACATATACAGTATTGAAAGATGAGAATCCCACTGCAGAAAAGAAACATCTGACATTTGAAAGGTAACATTAGATAGCTGAAAGAAGACATCTGACATTTGAAAGATGACATTTAACAACTGAAAGATAAAAACTTCCGTAAATAACTTAAATCGTACGAATTTCTATTACCATTTCGACTCATTTTAAGCCTATTCGAAACATATATGAAAAAAAATCTTGATAGGTTTACCTTCGCAAAAAATTTTGCTTGCTCAGTCTATAAATTGTCTCGATTTGCTTTTGTACATCTCTTTTTTCTTTAATCTTGCTTTTCTTTTATCATTCATTATTATATACAACACATGTAACAGAAAAATAAATTATTTCTTGTACAAAAATGTACACGCCTTTATACAAGTTTTAAAATTGTAAAAAAAAATGAAAACCTAACAACAAACAAAAAAAAATAATATGTAACAACACAACTCGTTTTCGGTGGTACAGCGAGGAAAGCGGGAATTTTGGGGAATTCCGCCGCGTCGCTGTATTTCCCTTATGCTCGCTTGCACTCCTGCAAATCACTGAACACTGTCTGGCAGTATATATTCATTTTTAATCTATTTTTCCACTTATTATTTTCACAATACTAATTCATTTTTAAAATCTAAGGTCATCATCACTAAAAAAACAAAAAACAAAAATAAAATAATAAAATTAACACCCTAAATATCACAATTCTTTCATAATTCTTTTTTGTACACGTAAAAAAGGATTCTCCACATTTATTTTTTCCATTTAAAGTAACAGGCGATAAAATATTTACAATTATCATATTATTGAGAAAATATCATTTTATATGTCTCGTCGCGGTTTTTTGAGTATTCTTGTTATCTAAAATTCGTTCATAAGGTCACATTGATTTTTTTTAATAAAATTTTCATTGCCGAACCAGCTTTCTAAATTTTGACGTTTGACGTACGACAATTGACGTTCGACGCGTGACAGTCGACGTATTTGGCGTTTGACGCTCAAAATGCGACGGAAAACAGTTTCGCAAAAGGAAATACTTTTTTGTTTTGAACTGATATTGGATACTTTTTTAAAGCGAGAGAAATAATAAGTACTTGGTCAGTGGTTTACAGAAGCGCAGCTGCAGTGTTATACAATTGTACTAAGACTTGCATGTGGACCGGCAAGCAAGATAAACGATCTTTAGTGTTGGAATCCAGCGCCAGCCATGAAAGAGCGTTGTATCCTTCAAGGACGTACCTGAAAATCAAAATAATCGATGTCAAAACGGCGTTCTTTCTATAACTAGTGTATAAACGTCTTACCTCAAGACGTCCGTGGTGTACTGGGAGTCGAGCGGATGCGACGTGACTGTGGATTGTTGAAAGAGATCGTCGGAACTTTGTTGGACGTTGGGACTGTGCAGATGCAACGCGTTCTTGAGGAAGGCCGGACAGACACCCTCTAGATGAGGACACGAAGACCAAAACCAACGAGGCATCTTTCCGGTGGGCGCCGTCGAAACGAAGAAGCCCAACGCCAGAGGTTGCTGCAAAACCACTCCCACTTCCTCGCTAGGTTCGATGCCTTTTGAACTCATGCCTCCCATCATCTGTGTACCTATAATATGAGACAGCATTGTTAAAAGATGAAGGCATTGTTGAAAGATGACAGCAATGTTGAAAGATAACAGCAATGCTTGCAATGTTGAAACATGAAAGCACTGTTGAAAGGCGACTGTAAATGTTAAGAAAGCATTGTTGAAAGATAAGAACAATACTAAAGGTGGCAGTAATATTGAAAGGTGACACTAATATTGAAAGAGAGAAGCAATGTTGAAAGAGAGAAGCAATGTTGAAAGAGATAGCATTGTTGAAAGATAAGAACAATGTTGAAAGCTAACCTGTAATGTTGAAAGATGAGAACAATGTTGAAAGATAACAGCAATATTGAAAGATGACAACAATGTTGAAATATAAAAGAAGATAAAACATTGAGTAAATGAAATATGCAAGATTGAAAGGTGACTAATAATAAAAGATGAAAGCATTGTTGAAAGATGAGCACAATGTTGAAAACTGACAGGTAATGCTGAAAGCTCAGAACAACGTTGAAATATAAAAGCAATTTTGAAAGGTGACAACAATGTTAATGATAAAAGAAATGTTGAAAGATTATTTTATTGTTGAAAGGTTATATCATTGTTGAAAGGTTATATCATTGTTAATAGGTTATATCATTGTTGAAATGTTATATCAATGTTGAAAGATAAAACAAAAGAATTTAAACATTTGAGCGAGTAGATGAAAGATGTAAAATTAGGCGATCAAATTATTTGAAAGATGAATATTAAAATTTCCATTCTTGAAAGATGAAATGGAATTTTGAAAAGTAATAACAATAAGGTGACAAGAATGTTGAAAGAAGACAGCAATGTTGAAAGGTGAAAACACTGTTGAAAGGTTAAAATACTGACCGAGTAGATGAAATATGTAATATTGAAAGGTGACTAATATTAAAAGATGAAAGAATTGTTGAAAGATAAGAACAATACTAAAGGTGGCAGTAATATTGAAAGGTGACACTAATATTGAAAGAGAGAAGCAATGTTGAAAGAGAGAAGCAATGTTGAAAGAGATAGCATTGTTGAAAGATAAGAACAATGTTGAAAGCTAACCTGTAATGTTGAAAGCTCAGAACAATGTTAAAGATAAAAGAATTGTTGAAAGGTTATATTATTGTTGAAAGGTTACATAATTATTGAAAAACAAATAAAAAAATTTAAACATTTAAGGGAGTAGATGAAAGATGCTTAAATTAGTTGAAAGATGAATTTTAAAATTTCCATTGTTGGAAGACGAAAAATGAGGGAGATGTAGAAAGATAAAAGAAAACACTGTTGAAAGTTAAAAAAAAATAAAACATGAGAACAAGTAGATGAAAGACACTTTAAATAAAATTAGCTGAAACATGAAAAACTTAAAATAAACATTTTTGAAAGATGACAGCAATGTTGAATGATAAAAGAAAGCACTAGTGAAATGTTATCATCATTGTTGAAAGATAACAACAAAAAGATAATTAAAACATGAGAGTGAGTAGATCACAGATGCTTGTATATTGTTGAATGATAAAATTAGTTGAAAGATGAAAAATGTAAAATTAACATTCTTGAAAGACAAAAAAATAGTAACTAAAATTTGCATGCAAATAGATGAAAAATGGAAAGCAGTGTTGAAAGGTATCAACAATATTGAAAGGTTACAACAATATTGAAAGGTGACAGCAATGTTGAAAGATGAAAAAAAAGCACTTTTGGAAAATGAAATCATTGTTGAAATATAAAAAAAAAGATAATTAAAACATGACAGCGAGTATATGAAAGATATAGTTGAATGATTAAAAAAATAAATTTTCATTCTTGAAAGATGAAAAAGACTAATTAAAATTTACACACAAATAGATGAAAGATGGAAAGCAAGATTGAAAGATAAACAATATTAATAGGTGACAATAATGTTGAAAGATGACAGCAGTATTGAAAGATAGAAGAAAGCACTGTTGAAAGAAGAAATACAGCATTGTTGAAAAATTATATGAATTGTTGAAAGATAAAAATTTCCATTATTGAAAGATGAAAAGAAAAAATAATGAAAATGTGCTCACCATCTCTGCCGATATTGGCGCCGCCCGTGGGGCTCCCCGTCCCCGATTCCTCGCGTCTGGGACTGCCGGTGGGACTCTGGCCGCCCCCGTTGCCCTCTATCTCCGGCCAATTGAAGATATCGTTGAATTCGCCGTCCATGCCCTCGGGCATGTCTTCGAACGGGCTGAACAGTTCGTCGTCGCCCAAGTCGGCGGTGATGTGCTGCTCCTGGAAGGCGGTCTGCGACGATTGGGTGGTCGCGCTGGTGGGAAAGACTAGGATGTGCGTGCAACTGACGTCTTGCGGGGTAGAGAGCTGGGAGTTGACAGATACCTACGAGCGAAATCAAACATTTTTTATGTAAAATTACGTCATTTTTACGTAATCATATGATTTTGTATACAATTTTATAATTTTTAATATCACATGATTTTTTGTAGAATTTTTTTTTTTATATAATCACATTTTTGTCGTTTTTTATGAAAAAATAATATGAATTTTTATGTAATTTCGTTTTTTATGTAAAATTACATGATTTTTTAAGCAATCTCATGATTTTTATGTGATCTAATAATTTTTAATTTAATCACATTATTTTTTATGTAGTTACATGTTTTTATGTAATCACACGATTTTATACATAATCACGTTTTATATGTAAACATATATGACATATGTAACAATATGATTTTTTATGTAATTACATCATATTTTATGCAATTACACGATTTTTTTATTTATTAACATTATTTTTATGTAATTACATGAATTTTTTTATCTTTTTTTATGAAATTACATTATTTTTTATGTAATCACGTTTATTTTTATGTAAATTATGTAAAATACAATGATTTTTATTTAATCACATGATTTTTTATGTAATCACATACTTTTTGTATTTAATCAATGTTTTTTTATGTAATCACATTACTTTTTATGTAACCACGTTTCTTTTTTTGTAAAATTACACAATTTGTTATATATTTTGATGATTTTTTTTATATAATCACATCTCTTTTTTGGAGTAATCTCATGTTTTTTTAATGTAATCACATGATTTTTAATGTAATCACATGATTTTTTATGTAATTACATTATTTTTATGTAATCACTTTTCTTTTCATGTAAACTTACATGATTTTTATTGAATCATATGATAAATTTCATAATAAAAATGTCATTACATGATTTTTAATGTAATCCCATACTTTTTGTATTTAACCAAATGATTTTTTATTAAATCACATTACTTTTTATATAACCATGTTACCATTTTTTTGTAAAATTACACAATTTGTTATATATTCAGATAATTTTTTTATGTAAATACTTGATTTTTTATACAATCACATGATTTTTGTGGCGTAATCCCATGTTTTTAATGTAATCGCATGATTTTTTATGGTATTACATTATTTTTTATGTAATCACTTTTCTTTACATGATTTTTATTAAATCACATGATAAAAATCACAATAAAAATGTCATCACATGATTTTTAATGTATTCACATACTGTTTGTATATAATCAAATTATTTTTTATTAAATCACTTTACTTTTTATGTAACCACGTTACCTTTGTTTGTAAAATTACACAATTTGTTATATATTCAGATGATTTTTATATTTTATAATATTCACATTATTTTTTATGCGATCACATTTTTTTTATGTGATCTTATAATTTTTACTCGATCACGATTTTTATGTGATTACATGATTTTTATATATTAAATTTTGTTTATGTATTCACACGAGTTTTTTTATCAGAGCACATATTTTTGTGCGATCACAATCTGTTTATCGTATGTGATAAATTAAACATTTTATTCGTATATTCCTTACCTGACTGAACCTTTCGTCCGGTGTAAACTGATCGGGCATGAGCCTCAACACGGAGTCCGGTTCCAAACTGACCAAGCAAGCGCTCAATATGCACGGCACCGAACTCGGATACATCATGGCGCACTGATTGCAAATTTCCTTCAAATGTTTTGACGCTTTGAGCAAATTTTTGCGGCTCAGCAACCAACTCCATCCTTTCAGTTCGCCGTGACCTGCAAAATTTCAAATGTGTGAACAGGAGAAGAATTTAAATCAGTTCCAAGTTGTACCAATCGATTTTTTTTCTGCAAAACTGTATGAAATTGACTGTTAATCAAAATTTCGACTCACCTATCCTTCCTAGTCTGCCGACAACGAGCCTCCAGGGCCGTACGTTCTGCGACATGACTCCCAAAATGAAACTCATCAACTTCTCGAGTCCTATCCTTCTCGCAGAAGCCTTTTTCCTTCTGCTTCTATTCGGTATATCAACGTTGATCGTGATCGTTTCGAAAATTTCACCCTGCAGACAAAAATAAAGCATTGAAACATCAAAACGTTTATTATTTGTTTTAAAGCAATTTCTTACTTTTTCGTCAGTAGCGACGGCCATCAACCAGCTTTGGTCTTCGGATAAGCAGTAGCTTAGATAGAGGACGGAGGATTGTTCTTGGGTGCCTTTGGTGAAGGCGTCCGCGGGTTCTTGCTTGCCGCGCATCGGCGCCAGTATGTACGGAGGCGTGTAAAGTTTGTAGGGTGCGCGATTTTTCTCCTGAAAAACGAACAGATGCTCAAACGATTGTTTAAAAAAAAAAAACAGTTACTGTCGATTTATGTCAAACGTCAATAACATAAGTTAACTGTCAGTAACAGACCTCAAATGTCAGCAACAGTGTCAGAACAGATGTCAATTGTCTGTAAAAGATGTCAATTCACTAACAATTAGGCATTCCAAACAAATGAATTGCCAGTGGGAAGGTTTGGTATATCTAAGGGTAGCGATATACGGTGTATTGTATCTACTTTACGTAAAATCATGAATAATGGATAACATTTAAATATTTTATGTCAAACACAATAAAAATAATATTTAAAAAACCCACCTATACATTTCTTCATAAATTGGCAGGCTTGGCGACTACTACTTCGAATAAAAATAGCGTCCAAGTTGCAAGATTATGTCGCTACCCCCCTTAGATATACAAGATTTTCCCACTAGCACCTATTGTTTGACAGGTCGTTGGAATGCCTAATTAGTAACGAACTTAAAATGTCAATAAAATACGTCAACCGCCCGTCAAATGTCAGTAAAATACATCAAATTGTTGACAATATACATCAAATGTCAGTAACGTAAACTAACCGTCAATAACAGATGTTAAATGTTAGTAACATAAGTTAAATGTCAGTAACATAAATTAACTATCAGTAACAAACTTCAAATGTCGGCAACAGACGTCAAATTTCGGTAACAGACGTCAAATTTCGGTAACAGACGTCAAATTTCGGTAACAGACGTCAAATGTCTGTAACAAACGTAAAATGTCGATAAGAGTTGTCAAATGTCGATAAGAGATGTCAAATGTTGATACGAGACGTCAAATGTGATTATGGTTCATTTTTAATGTCAATAATTAAGTTACACGTCAAACTTCATCATTTTGCATTATTCCTTTCAAGGTTCTATTTGATCTTCTCATCACTAAATTACTTTTTCTAAGATTTAGGAATGACCTGTTCAGACACTGTAAATTTATAATAGTTCATTTGTATCTTGTAATTTTTGAAAATTCCTAACTTGAAACCAGTAGATTCATGTAGTAGTTCATTTTTACCGTAGTTTTCGTGATTTCAGACGTTATTTTTAAGTAATCATATGTATCGCACTATTTTTGAACACTTTTGACTCAAACAAAAATATTATTTAAACATTAGTACATTCGTATCGCAGCATTTCCTCTTTTAAACATTAGTAGTTCATATGTACCTTGTTATATCAATGTATGACTCAAAAATAATCTATTTAAGTAGTTCATTTGTAACAAATCATTTAGTCAATTTTGTAAGTAAAAAATTATTCTAAAATTCCGAACTTGAAGGTAGTAGACTGAAATACTGTCAGTTTTCAATAGCTAATTGTCAATTGTCACCAAATAAGTGTCAACTATCCCTAAATAACTGTCAATTGTCACTAAATAACTGTGACCAGCACTGCAACTCTGTGTCATGTTGCTTGCGACATGTAGCTTCGTATATTTCATTGCGACTTTCACTACCACACGTCGTTATTTTGGTACTCTGTGTCACCGTCGCAGTTACTTCGGCTATTTTCGAGAATATATTAGCCAATCCAAAAAAATTGACTCTATTTTTTTTTTTAATATTGGTAAGAATTTAGGTGGGTTCGCATTGTCATATTCTGCCTGAAAAGTGAATTGTGATTGGTTATTCGTTTTCTTAATATACAAAATTACCCAATTATAATACAAACATCGCAGAATTGAATTATATTGAAGTGGCGCTTTAAGCTGTTACAAATATTGTGTTGTGATCATAATTTTAGGATTTATTTTGTTGTGTTAAAAGTTATTTGTGAATTGATACTTGTTTTAGGATTGTTATTAGTTGTTATATTTTAACATTTAATAGTGATGTTGCCAATAAATAATTTGAATGTGTTAATTGTTGAGGAAGAGGAAAGGCTAAGGCTTTTGAGAAACTTTAACGTTCGTAGGCGCTTACTGAGAGATGAAAGTGATCCCTTTGTCCAATTAACAGATTTTCAATTTAAAGGATTGTATCGGCTAACAAAAGATATAGCCCGATATATTCTCAATGGAATTATGCAGAATATGTTATTACAAAATAATCCAGTGGCAGTTCCAATTGCATCAAAATTTTTTGGCACCCTCCAGTTTCTTGCCACTGGGAGCTACCAAAAGACTATAGGGCAAAATTTTCAGGTTGCAGTGTCTCAACAACATATGTCAAAGGCAATTTTTGAAGTAATTCAAGCCATAATTAACACTTATGCACATGATAAAATCAAATTTCCTCAAAGCAATGAAATAAAAAATAATATAAAAACTAGATTTATGGAAGCTACTAACTTTCCTGGAGTAATTGGAGCTGTTGATGGAACGCATGTTGCTATTATAAAACCAAATGAAGAAGAACATAATTATTTTAATAGGAAGGGATACCATTCAAAAAATGTTCAAATTGTATGAGAAATTTATGCATTTTATAAGTATATATTTATAACTATTACTCTTTTTAGATATGTGACTATGATTTAACAATTTTAAGCATTAATGCAAGATTTGGTGGAGCAGCACATGATTCTTTTATCTGGTCGCAGTCAACCGTTCGGACTGAGCTAGAAAGATGCTTTATAGCTGGTAGGTTTATCTGATGCATATTATTACACCAAAACACCTTCTATTGTATTTCTTTTTAATTTTAATATTCATTTAAATATTTTTTTCTTGTAGGTGACCGAAATACTTGGTTGTTAGGGGACTCTGGATATCCATTACAACCATGGTTATTAACGCCAATACTTAATGCAGCCCCTGATACACCTGAGTTTAGGTATACAGAAAGGCACATGACGGCTCGTAATTGTGTAGAACGTTGCATTGGTGTACTAAAAGGAAGATTTAGGTGTTTACTTGTGGAGAGAAAATTAAGATATAACCCATTCAAGGTGGCTCAAATAATTCATTCATGTACCATTTTACACAACATTTGTACTGCTGCTGGTCTGGATATTGATTTTGATATTCCAAGAGAAGAAAATGGAGGATATAATTATATTAGAAGAGAAGGAGATTTCCATCAAGAGGGCATGCTGAATCAAAGGACTATCATTAACAATTATTTCAGATAATTTTTAAATAAAAATAAAGTAATTGATATGTGAATTTTATTCTAACTAACAACTAATATACAATATACAAAATTTACCTTACATAACTAAAAAAAAATAGAAAATTCCTAAATAAAAATATACACTAGAAAACAAACAAAAATTATTTGTTCATATTTGCCGCAATAATTTTGAGCGAATCTGCTATGCTCTGAATATTTGAATTAATATTGCAGAGCACGTTTAACGTTTCCTTGTTCATTTCAAGTAGTTCGTTTGAAATGCGCACATTTGAATTTTCTCTAACTCGTTTCCTTTTTAACGGAGTTGGAGAATCTATCAATCTTCTATCATAATCATGATCATTTTCTTGAGCATATTCTACCGTGTGTTCTTGGGAATATTCTACAGTCTGTTTCTCTTCCTCACCTACCTCGCAGCCAAATTCTATTACTCCCCTATCACCTTCTACGGCAACATTACCCATTAAACTAAGAAGTCTCTTCTCATAATCCGTGAGGGGTAATGCCGTAGAAAGTCCACCTCCAGTTCCTTCCTGAGCCATTCTCAATTTTGCGGCTTTGGCTTTTGTTTTCGACTTCCAATCAGTCAAAGCCTAAAAAAATATTTTATATTAGGTAAATGTTAAAGAAAAGATCATACTAAAAACTTACCCTTCTCCATTCTGATGTGGTTTTTTCCCCAAAGCCCAAACCATTCAATCTATTTGCCAACGTTTGCCACATGGCGTGGCCTTTGGCTTTGCCAGCAATCCCATTGAATTTATTTGTTATTAATTCCGGAGTATGTTCGGCCATCGTTAATAACAAATCCCAATGATCTGTTCTTACTTTCATCTTAAAATAGTTTTATCTTTTATTGAATATAAATAATATATGAGTCGAGAGTCGAATCGTGAAACGTTATTATAAAATATCATATAACAGGTTTGTGACTCTGTGATAAAATATAACCTCAATTCCCTTTCCTTTGATAATAATATATGGATCTCTTTCTACCCCAAGACTCAAATTACAGAGCGATATATATCTCTCTCTAATACGACACGTCTAAGGGTGTTGAATAGAAGCGACGTGTCAGCCAAGAATAAATCGACACAAAGCGACAAATGACACCTCGAAATGCAACACAGAGTGCGGCTCGTGTCGTTTCTAGGCGATTATTGATATCAACATGACACAGAGTTTACCTGCAGATAACTTAACATTTTAATAGTCATTACCAAATGGCTGTATAATTTGAAACCTTTAGTCGTCAAAAAATAACTATCAATTTTCACAAAATAACTGCCAATTGTCACAAAATAAATGTCGATTGTCAAATAATAACTGTCAATTGTAACAAAGTAACTGTCAATTGGCACCAATTATCTGTCAATGGGCACCAAATAACTGTCAATGGGCACCAAATAACTGTCAATTGTCACTATACACCTCATTTGTGACCAAATAACTGTAATTGTTAGAATAACATTTTTCTAGAGTAGACATCCCAAAAAATGTTATAGTACTTACCTGTTATACTTTTTGATATATTTTTAAACTCTTGTCTTTCAGAACTATTAAAAAAATTCATGCAATGTCTAGTATCAAGCTGTAAAACATTAACATTTTAGTAGTTATTACCAAATGACTGTATAATCTGAAATGCTCAGTTGTCACCACATAACTTTCAATTGTCATAAAATAACTGTCAATTTTCACAAAATAACTACCAATTGTCACAAAATAAATGTCGATTGTCAGATAATAACTGACAATTGTAACAAAATAACTGTCAATTGTAACAAAATAACTGTCTATTGTAACAAAATAACTGTCAATTGTAACCAAAGAACTGTCAATTGTCACATAACTGTCAATTGTAACAAAATAACTGTCAATTGTAACCAAATAACTATCAATTGTCACAAAATGACTTTCAATTGTCACCAGCTAACTGCCGCCGATTCTTGTGACCTTCCAGGATTCAGAGCATCGATACAGCTTCTATTAATACAGCTAAGCAACGAATATAAATAAATTAGGTTAGAAAACTACTTACGTCTTTGCTTTTGAGAAAGTGATCGGCCATGGCGGCCGTTCCGAATCCGGTCAGCGATTTGACATTGTTCGTGTGTATCAACAGTCGTCTGCATTGCGAGAAAATGTTCAACGCCAGCGCCCTCATGTGATCGCTGTGCCTGTTCCTGTTGCGGGCTTTGTTCAATTCGACGATGCTTTCCAACGAGATTATCTGAAAGGAAAAAATTCCCATTGGCATTAGAAACTGATAAAAATTAAAAATATTGTCTTATAAATAAAACGATTTTGATGATTATTAAAATAAATGTGATCCAAGATTTTTTTATTCAATCACATTATCTTACATGATCACATAAATCTTTATACGAACTATCACATTTTTTACTAGATCACATTATTTTTAGGCAATCATATTATATATTAAAATTTCCATTCAGAGGATTTTTTTTATAAAATCACATGATTTTTATATATTCACATCATTTTTTATTTTAAAAAGAAATAAAGATTCTTACTTGAACGCTGATATTGTTCCGGATATTTTCGGGCACGGCGGATAAAACCGACTGGTAACATCTCAGCAAGGCCAAGCAGGCCAATCTCTGGAGCTCCGGTTGATCGGAGCCCAGCGAGAACGGTTCCACTAAGTAAACCACCACCGAAGGTACTTCTTGGTCATCGTCGTCGTGCTGTACAGCATCGGAGACGTTGCTTATCGGCGAGGTGTCTTTCAAACCGTCTCCGTCTAGAATAAAAAAGATATTAAATTGGTGTTCGATTCAATTTAAAGAATGTTTTATGTGGAATCGGTAGATACCTTGGTCACTTTTGGGCGTAGGAGCTTTATCTGTGCTGGACGAAGTCGAGGATTGGTTGCCGGCGTTTTCAGGCGTGCTGGGAGGCGGCATGGGACTAGGCATGGGTTGGTCGGTGTTCGCTTCTTGCGGGGGATCTAGTAGAGTCTTGTCCATCGGGACTTGTAGTAGATGGGGTGCTAGGTGATGTTTACAGACCTAAAACGGTAACGAATTTTTGAAAATTTTCACATACTCCAGAGAATTCCTGCTTCAAACCGACGCATTCAACCAATCAGCGACTAGGATAAATCAAATGAAATAAAAATATGTAACGGTCTGTCTGGGTTTATTTGTAGACAAGATCTACAATCCTTCTTTTACTTTCATAGGTATCACATTATTATCACGATTTCTAGAAAAGTAGTTCAAATGTATTGCCTTTTAGTATTTCTGGTAATTAATTGAATATCAATTGAATTAAGTAGTTCATTTGTAGCATGTTAGTTTACGATTTTTAGAAGAATAGTTTAGTATTTCTGGTAATAATTATTAATTAAATCAGTTGATTTTCGTAGTTCATTTGTATCACATTACTCTCAAAATTTATAGAAGAGTAATTCAAATATATCATTTTTGATATGTCTGGTAGTTAAATGAAAATCAGTTCATTTCAGTAGTTAATGTGTATCACATTATTCTAACGATTTTTACAAGAATAGTTCAAATGTGTCATCTTTTAGTATTTCTGGTATTTATTTATTGAATATCTTTTGATTTCAGTAGTTTATTTGTATCACGTTATTTTCTAGAAGAATAAATCAAATTAAAATTTTTGCTGTTTCTGGTAGTTAAATAGTTAAGTTAGTTAGTAGTTAATTTGTACCGAATTATTCTAAATACTTTTAGAATAGTAGTTCAAATGTACCATCCTTTAGTATTTCTGGTAATTACTGATTGAATATCATTTGAATACATTAGTTCATTTAAATCACGTTATACTCACGATTTTTTACAAGAGTAGTTAAAATGTATCGTCTTAGTATTTCTGGTAATAAATTAAACATAAATTGATTTCAGTAGTTCATTTGTATCACGTTATTTTCACCATTTATAGAAGAATAGATCAAATTAAAATTTTTGCTATTTCTGGTAGTTAAATGAAAATGAATTAATTTCAGTAGTTAATTTGTACCAAATTATTTTAAATATTTTAGAATAATAGTTCAAATATACCATCCTTTGGTATTTCTAGTAATTATTGATTGAATATCATTTGATTTCAGTAGTTTATTTGTATCACATTATACTAATGATTTTTAGAAAAGAAGTTGAAATGTATCATCTTATTATTTCTGGAAATAAATTAAATATCAGTTGATTTCAGTAGTTAATTTGTACCACAATATTCTAACGATTTGTAGACGAGTAGTTCAAATGTATTTCAGTATTTCTGATAAATAACTGGATAGTTGATTTCAGTAGTTCATTAGTTAGTTTCACAATTGTTATAAGAGTAGTTCATATGTATCATATTTTAGTGTTTCTGGTAACTAAATATCAATTGATTTTAGAAGATTAGTTCATATGTATCATCTTTTAATAATTGTGTTAATTAACTAAATATCAGTTGATATCAATAGTTCATTTGTATCACGTTATTCTCACGATTTTAGAAGATTAGTTCATGTGTATCATCTTTTAATAATTCTGTTAATTAACTAAATATCAGTTGATTTCAGTAGTTCATTTGTATTACGTTATTCTCACGATTCTATAGTTCATAAGTATTATGTTTTAGTATTTTTGATAAATATTAACTAAATATCAGTTGATTTTAGTAGTTCATTTTGTAATTTTATTATCGAATACAAAAATAGTGTTTTGGAAAATAAATTTATGTAAATTGTAGTTTTTTTAAATTCGTCTTTTACAAAATATTTAAAAAACAATATTTTATAGTTTGATGAAAAAACTACTTGACACATCATTGGTGAAGTATATTGGTTAATATCACATGTATCCTTTCAGGAATTAAAGTGATTGTATTATATTTATTTTGAAGGGAATTAAATTTAAATGGTATTCGACTTTGTTTACTTATTTTAAAGTTACTTGTGTAACAATACATAAAAAAAATACAATGAACAATGATGTAATGTAATGATGCTCTTGGCTACACAACGCCCTGCTCCTGATACAAATCTTGCAAAAGGTTTTGCCAAGCAATATAAAAATACAGGGTTTACGAAATTTTTATAAACTTCAAATGAGGTTGTTACGTCAAACGGCGCCCATTACCTACCTATTTCTTTTGTTTATCTGAGATCAGAGAATTTCATTCATGTCACCCTAAAATTTCCTTAAATCTATGGAAAATTCAACAACACATTATAAAATAATTGTAAATAACTTACTTGTGCGTACAATTTCAGCATATCGGTCGTCTCCCCCTCTCCGAGCAGCGTGAACCAATCCTCGACTGGTTCGTTACCGATTTTCGTTTTGGCCGTCTTCCCCACCCTCAATATCCCGTCTCTAAGTACTTTAGTAATTGGACTGTGCCTGCCCAACTTGCACATCTCGTAAGCCGTCGACAATTCCCTGAAAAACGTTCTCACTCTTGGTAAAATAGCATCGTTATCGGGAGCCACCACGATGTAAGCGACATCCCGTGCGTACGAATAAGGTTCCAGCAATAGAGTTTCCCAATGCTGCAACGCGTACGGCGACAGCGACAACCAATCCTTATCGTGCCCGACGATGATAGACGGTATGGGTTGCGGTTCGCATCTGTCGTCTGTACCTCTACCGGCCAATCGGTGGAACTGCCGCCACGTCAGCGGTCCTTTGACTGCAGACGGGGCTTCCCACAACCTCGTTTGACATTTCTTCTGGATGGCTTCTTGTAGCAACGGTTGTAAGTTCCTCATCACTCTGACGATGTCTTGGTTGCATTGCGGACCGGTCGCTCTGAGGAACGGCCATCGATGGACGGCTATCGTTTGTGAGCTTTTAGAATGCTTTATCTCTTCCAGCTGGAAAAAATCGTGAGATTGAAGCGTTAATACAAACATAAAACCGTTTACAGGCATCCAAACTAAAATTTTACATCACTCGAGGTTTTATTAAAAGGTAACTAATATTTAAGGGATTTATAAGGAACTTTTAAGTTTTATTGCAGTTTTTCTAGTCTTATAACAAAACCATGGGTGTCACAAGTTTTGTAAGGCACCCAACAAATAGCAAAATACTTTAAATATTGTAATATTGCATCTAAAATGTTTCGGTAACTTCATCTATAAATCCGTTAGGATTGATTACTTAAATTTTTATAAGAAGGTTTTATAGCATTCTTAGAAACCTCCGTATAAAACTTTTACTCTACGGATTTTACAGCTTAAAAATTCTTATAAATGTTGAAGCACCCAATAACTATTCCGTAGCTCATTTAAAACTTAAGGAATATTATAAAATCAGATATTTTGAAGTAATATTAACATATATAAAAAGTCACAGTGTCCTCAGATAAGACCCTTGGAGTATACAAGTATTTTAAGTTGATTAGAGAGATGAGGAATGTTATAATGAAGTATGACCATTTGAGAAGACACCAGTGTCCTCAGGTAAGACCCTTGGGGTATACAAGTATTTTTAAATTAACTGGAGAGATACAGAATAATGTTAAAATGAGGCATGCACGATTTAGAAGATGCTAAAACCCTTTTATGTTGTTCTAAAAGGAAAATCAGTTAATATTAACATACATAAAAGTCAGAGTGCTCTCTGATAAAAACCCTTGAGGTATACAAGTATTTTAAATTGACTGGGGAGTTACGAAATAATGTTATAACGAGGCGTGAACAATTTGGGAGATGCCAAAACTATTATGCTGATTTAAAAGGAAAATCAAATGTTTAGAAGCAATATTAAGACACATAAAAAGTCACAGTACCCTCAGATAAGACCCTTGAGTTATACAAGTATTTGAAATTGTTTATCTTACCTTGCACATGCCGAGATTGTCCAGGAAGCTCTTGCTCTGTTCCAGAGCTATGCAGGTGACGTCGTGGCTGTCGGAGTATTCTAATACGTGTATGTTGTGGTTGCGCACGTTGACTTTGGTTCTCATGTAGCCGCCCACTCTGCACAAGGAATTGGTGGTGTTTGGTACGAAGACGAGTTGTTCTCTGACCAGGTCGATAAGGCTGTGCGGTAGAATGTCGATTTGGTCTCTGTCAATGTTCGGATCCAGTTTTATGGAATTGCTGGCGACGAGGAAGGAGAGCAACGACGGTTTTTTCTTTTCTCCGGGGTCTTCCGCTATACCTAAGTGAGAGAAGAAATAGAAAAATTAGGAATTAGAAAGATTGTCCACGTAAAATACAGAAAGAAAAAAAAGAAAACTTTTGTAATTTTATAATGTAATTCAATTATAATTAATGATCTATTTAGGTTAAGTAATGTAAACCTGATAGGTTAGGCGTTAAAGAGTAGCTTAAAGCTAATCTTCACCTAAAAGGTGGCAACGTTGTACAGTAGAACCAGAAATACTGTAAGGTCATAAAACACCAATCACTTGAATTATCAGCATGCAGTCGCCTCTTCGCAGAGACGTACCTACTCTATCTATTAAGTTCTGTTCCATATGTATAATAATTAGGTCAAAATATGTAATTATTAAAAAAATTGCTTGAATATAATTTAGAGTTACTTATTTAGATATAGTATATGATATACAGTGACACACATAAAGTCTGCATCATATTGGATTTTGTTCCTAATTGCTGTAGAGAAATTTTGACTGCCATCATTTTGAGCATCGAAAATGATAACAAATGATATATAAATGATTATATGACTTTGAAAATGTCTCGTTTCCTTAAAATTGGAAAAAATTGTATTAATTTTCAAAATCATTTTTTAGTTATTCTGGTCATTAACTGAATATCAGTTAATTTTAGTAGTTCATTTGTTTCACTTTCTTTTCACGATTATTAGAAGAGTTTAAAATGTTTTACATCACATTTTGACGATTTTTAGAAGAGTAGTTCAAATGTCTTTATAATATTTTTGGAAATTAATAGAATATCAATTGATTTCAGTAGTTCATTTGTACCATATTATTCTCAGGATTTATAGAGTAGTTTGTATTAACTTTTAGTATTCTTTTAGTATTTCAGTAGTTCATTTGTTTCACTTTATTTTCACGATTATTAAAAGAATTTAAATGTTTTACATCACATTTCGACGATTTTTAGAAGAGTAGTTCAAATGTATCTTTTTAGTATTTTTGAAAATTAACAGAATATTAATTGATTTCAGTAGTTCATTTGTACCATATTATTCTCACGATTTATAGAGTAGTTTGTATCAACTTTTAGTATTTCTGATCAATTCACTGAATGTCAGTTCAATTCAGTACTTTATTTGTATTATGTTAATTTCACAATTTTAAGAAGAGTAGTTCAAATGTATCTTTATTAGTATTTTTGGAAACTAATAAAATGTTAATTGATTTCAGTAGTTCATTTGTACCATTTTATTATCACGATTTATAGAGTAGTTGTATCAACTTTTAGCATTTCAGTAGTTCATTTGTTTCACTTTATATTCACGATTATTAATAGTTTAAATATTTTGCATCACAATTGGACGATTTTTAGAAGAGTAGTTCAAATGTACTTTTTTTTTAGTATTTTTGGAAATAAATAGAATATTAATTGATTTCAGTAGTTCATTTGTACTATATTATTCTCACGATTTATAGAGTAGTTTGTATCAACTTTTAGTATTTCTGATCAATTCACTGATTGTCAGTTCAATTCAGTACTTTATTTGTATCATGTTAATTTCACACTTTTTAGAAGAATAGTTTAAATGTATCATTTAGTATTTCTGGCAATTAACTAAATACCCATTTATATTTATATATTTTACTCATATAGTCCAGCTATAGTAGTGCTTTTATTTATTTTGTTTTATTTTATATTTTTATCTCATTGCGGTTGTTTTTGTTAGGTTAGATACACTGTACTATTTAGAAATTATTTTAAATAAATAAATAAATTTTTAGTATTTCTGGTAATTAAAATTGAATAGTTCAATTATACCACATTCTAGCCTTTTTAAATACAAGTATTTTTAATTATTTGTACAGTTTCTTTTTTAGCGACGGTATTGAAGATAAAAACATAAATTTTTAAGATTCTAACCTGTGATTTCGACCTCGTCTTCATAGAAAAGGCCGCTGCCGTGCGCCAGTCGTCTGTTCACCACCGCCGAGAAACCGCAGCTGCATCTGATGGAATCTTCGTCGTTGGAGTGGTGATCGTCGTTCATCATGTTACCGTAAGGCGGCGGTTGACCCATGTTACTACCAGGATAAGGACTGGTGGGTTGTGCGCTTGCGTGTTGCTTGTCGTTCGGCGTGTTCAGTAGATAAATGCCCGCGTCTGCGCCCCTGATATTTCCCACCACCTAAAAGTATAATTGCAATAGTTATCGCCTCCGAAGATACAGACATCGTTATCGAATCGAGCGCCTCTTACCTTGCCGGCGGCGTTACAAACGCACAGCGTGCAACTGTCGAAATTGTGATCTCTGAATATGTTGAAGGCAGTATCGGTGAGCAAGATGTTGAGCACGAGACTGGACGCCTCGGGTGTTCTTTGCGCTATGCCGGGCGTCGGCGTCGGCGCCGCCTCCACCGAATTGAGATTCTTGTTAAGGTACGAGCTGGCCGTCGACGTCGCCGGACTGGCCATCTCGTAGGGCGGCGGCGGCGGTCTGAAACCGCCTCCCGGTCCGGCGCCGCCGCCGTGCAACGGACTAGGAGGAAACAGGTTCGTGTTCTGAAACGAAAATAACGGAGATTTTGTCGATTAAAAACACAAAGAAATTTAAGAGATTTAAATAAATACGATAAATAACTATTAAAAAAGGTTTTAAACTATTAGGAAAGGCTATTAACTATTAAGAAAGGCTATAAACTATTTAAAAAGGCAGTAAACTATTTAAAAAGGCAGTAAACTATTTAAAAAGGCAGTAAACTATTAAGAAAAAGCGATCAACTATTAAGAAAGGCGATCAACTATTAAGAAAGGCGATCAACTATTAAGAAAGGTGATCAACTATTAAGAAAAGCTGCAAATTAAAATATTAGGAAATGTTATAAACGATTTGGGAAGGCGGTAAACTATCAGGAAAAGCTGTAAACTAGTAGGGGAGATGATAAACTATTAAGAAAGGCTCTAAATTATTAGGAAAGAGAGTAAACTATTAAAAAAGGCAGAAAACTAATAAAAAGGCAGTAAACTATTTAAAACGGCAGTCAACTTTAAAAAGGCAGTAAATTATAAAAAACGCAGTAAACATTATAAAAGGCAATTAACTAACACGAAAGGCTGGCTGTAAATTAAACTATTAGAGGATGAAAACGATTAGTATAGGTCGTAAACTATTAGGAAAGACGATAAACTATTAAGAAAGGCCATAAACTATTAAGAAAGGCCCTAAACTATTAAGAAAGGCTCTAAACTATTAAGAAAGGTAGTAAACTATTTAAAAAGGCAGTATACTATTTAAAAAGCAGCAAACTATTAAAAACACAGTAAACATTATAAAAGGCGATCAACTATTAAAAAAGGCTGTAAATTAAACTATTAGAGGTTGTAAAGGATTAGCTATGGACTATTAGGAAAGTTATTAAACTATTAAGAAAAATTCTAAACTATTAAGAAAAGATGTAAACTATTAAGAAAAATTCTAAACTATTAAGAAAAGATGTAAACTATTAAGAAAGTCTTAAAATTAGAGTGTATCTTGTTTTATTGATGGAAAAATTATTGTATAAGTTTTTCTAAACATAAAACAAAAAATTATTTTGGACATTTTCTTTTGATTTTTTTGAATGGGCAATCAAAAAACAAAATGGGAATGTCCTTATTGAACAGCAAATATACTAGGAAAGGTTGTAAATGTAATAGTAGCATTTTTAAAGTATTCCATAAAAAAAATCTTACCTGCTGAAGACTATTGGACACGGCGCTACTGGCCGCGCTCTGGCTGTTGCTGGAAGCATTGTTAATATGACTACTATTATTACTACTGCTGCTATTGTTGGTTTGTTGTTGCTGTAATGCGGGTTGTTGTTTTTCGACGTGCTGCATCCACGACGGTTTGTAGGTGAAATTGGATGGTAAAACGACGGTAGGCAGATTTTGACTGGGCAGGTTCGTCAACGGGGCGTACTTGCTACTGCCGACCATTTTGCAGATCGGCGGCGGTTTAAACACGTAACTCCAATCTTCTGAAAAACGCAAAAATCCCGATTAGTAAGAAACTTTCAAATAAATTCACAGAACGGGCGATAATAGGTGAATTTTTAACTATAATTTTTTTGTCAATTTTAAAAATGCTTCAGGAAGTAGTTCATTTGTACCGTATCGTTTTGGCGTTATTCTAGATAAGAAGTGTCAATTTTACAATTAGTTCATTCGCATCAATTCATTTTGGTCGATTTTCAAGTGAAGTAAGAATTTATAAAAAATAGTTCATTTGTTACACATTATTTCCATCGATTTAATTGTGTAACGATGGAAATTAAAAAAAAAAATGGACTATTTTGATCACTTTTAAAGTCTGTTTCAGGAAGTAGTTCATTTGTACAGTATCGTTTTGACGTTATTCTAGAAAAAAATTATTTTGCAAATAGTTCATTTATACCAAATCATTTTGGGCGATTATCAAATGAATTATGTATTTGTAAAAAGTAGTCCATTTGTTACACGTTATAGCTTTTGTCTTTTTCTAGGTAAAAACGGTCAATTTTGAAATTAGTTCATTTGCACCAAATTAATTTTGATCAATTTTCAAGTGAATTATGTATTTGTAAAAAGTAGTTAATTTGTTACACCATATTTTCATCTTTTAAAGTAAAACAAGTAGTTCATTTGCACCATATCGTTTTTGTCTTTTTCTAGGCAAAAACGGTCAATTTTGAAAGTAGTTCATTTGCACCAAATTAATTTTGATCAATTTTCAAGTGAATTATGAACCTATTTGTAAAAAATAGTTCATTTGTTACACCTTATTTTCGTCTTTTAAAGTACTTAATACAAATAGTTCATTTGCACCATATCATTTTTGTCTTTTTCTAGGTAAAAACGGTAAATTTTGAAATTAGTTCATTCACACCAAATTAATTTTGATAAATTTTCAAGTGAAGTAAGCATTTATAAATAGTAGTTCATTTGTTACACCTTAAATTGAAACTGCATTTTTCAAGCAAAATACCAACGATTTGTATTTTTTTTGCAACGGCATCCAATTTTATTATTAACAAAACAAATTTACTACTCACCGATATTTTCCTCCTGTGGACTGCCCATGTTGGGGTAGATCTCCTGCTTCACCCTCACAATACCGAAATCAGAGGTGAATTCCGGAGGCGGTAGGTCCATTTGCCCGCACGGCGATGCTATCGGGTTGTGCTCTAAGCTGGGCGGCGTCGGAAACATTTTGCTCAGCTCTGCTTGACCCAGGATGCCCATATTGGGACACCCATGACCCGAAAACCTCTTCGAGTCTTCGTGATGGTTGACGGCCGTGGAACCAGGCGGGGTTTGCACTTGTAGCTAAAATAAAACATATGTTGATTAGGAAATTGGAGTAGTAGTAGTTCAATTGAACATAAATTTGTACTTTTAGTAAGTAGTTCATTCGTATCGGAAAGAAAAAACTCCTTACCCCTTCGTCGTCATCGGAATTATCGAATATCTGATCGAGATCCTTATAAGAGGGTTGTAATCCCTCGCTGGTGAACAAATTGTCGGTGGTGATCTTTTTCACCTCCTTGTTTTCCTCCTTTACGCAGGCCTGGCCTCTTTTGAAGCCGTCCAGGTTGCAATTCGCCCCGCCGCCGTCTTCCTCGAACTCGTATGGATCACCGGGCCTCTTCACCCCGTGCGGGTGGGAGTTGGTAGTCGGAGGGTCGGTTTCCATCTGTAAAATCGATTTCAAAAAATCAAAAACACAAATACTGCTAGACTCCTAAACTGAACGTGTAAAGCAAGAAAGGATTACTAAACATTTGACTCGCCTAAAATTGATTTATATTTGAGTTCTATAGTTAATTTATAGTATAAAGACTAGCGGAATGGAAGATGCATAAAGTAGTTCATTTGTACCACAAAATTTTTGTATGATTATATAAAAGAAAAAACTTTATATATAACAAAGTGAGTCAAGTCATTTGAACTTGTTCTGTTTACTTACATTTTGTCCAGGTTCCTGTTTTATCTCCTGTTTTATCATCATCTGTTGATTCTTATTATTATTATTCACAACCTCGCTTGTCTGGTTAACGTTATAATTTTTGTCATATAATGCATAAATGTCCGTTTTTCCTATCCTATTTAATCTCTGGTTTTCTTTGCCGTCGGGTTTAAATTTCTTCACTGGATGGTTCAGCCACGCGTCCATCGTCGAATAATCGTAGAGCATCTCTAACGGTTGTTCCTCTTCGCCGAGAGCCACCTTGAAACGATTTACATCTTAAAAACCTCGTATCATAATAAATAAATAAATAAATAAATATATATATTACGGAATAATCCATTAGTATCAATAAATTACATAAAATAAAATAGCTTAAGTACATTAAAAAAAAAAAAAAAAAAAAAAAAAAAGGTAGGCACAATAAATCAAAATTTCATATATGAAATGTAATAAACTAAACTAAAGATATTAAAAACAAATTCTCTTTACATCATTCACAAATTGACTAATAGAACACCCAGTGATGTCTAAATTGTATTGATTAGCCAGTCGCATTAGTCTAGGTAGAGGTGCATGATAAGCATAATTGGTAAGGTGAAGTTGAATGGCAAATAAACTATTATTTCTTGTAGTTCTTGTGGGAACTCTAAATTCAATCATAGCTAATAACTCATCAGAAGTAATAATCCCGGCTATGATCTTATGGAGGAATGATAGATCCATCAATATTCTTCTATTAACAAGGGTTGGGAGGTTTATTAAATCCAGAATTGTGGAATAATTATATGTACCTGCTGCTAGACCAACTTTAAAGGCACAATATCGTAGATATTTATTTTGGACATTTTCAATCCTTTTTACAGAGTTTATGTAAAATGGACACCATATGGTAGAGCTGTACTCCAAAATGGACCGCACATATGCAATATAAACCATTCTACAGGCATCTAAAGATAACGATCTAGAGTTTCTTATCAGCATGCCTAACATTTTCATTGCTCTATTAACTATAAGATTGATATGATTATTAAACGAAAGATCTGAGCAAAACACGATTCCCAGGTCTTTAATTTCGGTAACACGTTTAATTAATGTATTGTTATTCAGAGAGTAGTTATGTGTTATTTGATTATGATTTTTTGTATATAATGATCGTTACTATTTACAGATAATTGTGGTCCTAAAACTGAGCCCTGAGGTCCAGTAACAAATATTTTCTAGTTAATCTGTTACGTTTTTAGAAGGCCTGTGGACAATATTTAGAAAAACTGTAGAAATTTTAATATGACATGAGGACAATCTTTAAAAGCTGTGGATAAATATTTAGAAGACATGTAATTTAAAAAACTGCAGAAGAATACAAACTTAAAAGCTTTTCAGCAATTGTGGATTTTTTAGAAAGACTATGGACAATTTTTAGAAGGATTGTTGACAATTTTTAGAAAAACTAGAAGTTTAAATATAGGTGTAACGTTTACCCAAAACTGAAGAATTTTTAGAAGTGCAGACAATTTGTAGAAACACTGTAGAAGTTTTAATATAAATGTACAGTTTGTGGAATTTTTAGAATTCATATGAACAATTTTTATGAAAACTGTAGAAATATTAAAATACACATAACATGTTCCAACTGTTTTATTATAAATGTAACGTTTTTCGACAAGTGTAAAATTTTTAGAGAACTGTGGACAATTTTGAGAAAGCCTGTTAAAAAAACTGTAGAAATTTAAATAAAAATGTAACATGTAACTGTAGAATTTTTCGAAGGTCTGTGTATAATTAAAAAAACTGTAGAAGTTTTAGTATAAATGCTACATTTTCTAACAACTGTAAAAATTTTAGGAGGAATGTGGATAATTATTAGAAACTGTAGAAGTTTTAATGTAAATGAAATGTTTTCCAACTGTAGAATTTTTAGAAGATCTGTGGACTATTTTAAAAAAACTGTAGAAGTTTTAATATAAACCTAACGTTTTCTAAAAACTAAGAGAAAAGCTGTAATCGTTTTTAGACAAACTGTAAATGTTTTTGAAATGTACGCAATTTAGAAGTTCCTGTGAACGATTTTAGATATGGGGGGAAATGTTTAAAGTTAGTATTAACGGTTTAAAAGAGCCATAGCACTTTTAGAAAAGCCGTAGCATGTTTAGAAAAGACATAGACGTTTTTAGAAATAGGCATTTTTAAAGTTACTGTTAATGGTTTAAAAGAAATGTAGCAGGTTTATAAAAGCCGTAGAAGTCTTAAGAAATATTTGTAGACATTTTTAAGATCATTGTGAACGATTTTAAAAGAGCTGTAACCTTTTTCAGAAACTGTAGAAAATATTAACGTTTTAATCAATCTGTTAATAGATAAACTGTAATCGTTTTTAGACCCATTGTAAAACAAGCTGTAACGTTTTTGAAAATGTACACTTTTTAAAAGTTCCTATGAATGATGTAAAAGAGTAGTTTTAGAAAAGCTGTAACGTTTTTTGAAATGGCGTAGAATTTTTAAGGTGTGAACGATTTAAAAGAGCCATAGCACTATTAGAAAAGAAGGCACATTTAAAAAAGCTGTAAACGTTTTTAGAAATATCGACATTTTAAAAGTTATTGTGAACGATTTAAAAAGAAATGTAGCAGATTTGTAAAAGACAAAAACATTGGTAGATATTTTTAAGATTACTGTTAACGATTTTAAAAGAGCTGTAAAGTTTTCCAAAAACTGTAAAATTTTATCAATCTGCTAAGAGATAAACTGTCATTGTTTTTTAGATTCACTGCATAACTTTTAAAACTGCTGTAACGTTTTTGGAAATGTAACACAGCTTTTAAAGGTTCCTGTAAACGATTTAAGAGCTGTAGGACTCTTAAAAAAGCTGTAACGTTTTTAGAAATGGTGTAGACATTTTTAACGTTACTGTAAACGATTTAGAAGAGTTGTAGCACCTTTAGAAAAGTTGTAACGTTTATGAAAATATTGTAGATGTTTTATAAGTTACTGTAAACGATTTTAAAGAGTTGTAGCACTTTTAGAAAAGCCGTAGACATTTTTAAAAATGTTGGTAGACATTTTCAAGGTTACTATGAATGATTTTTAAATAGCTGTAGAACTTGTAGAAAAGCTGTAACGTTTTTGAAATGGTGTAGACATTTTTAAGGTTACTGTAAACGATTTAAAAGAGTTTTGTAGCACCTTTAGAAAAGTTGTAACGTTTCTGAAACTGGTGTAATGATTTTCAAGTTACTGTAAATAATTTTAAACAGTTGTAGCACTTTTAGAAAATCCGTAGACATTTTTAGAAACGTTTATAAGGTCACTGTTAACGATTTTAAAAAATTAAAAGACTTAAGGAAACTAAAATGAGCTGTAAAACTTTTAGAAAAGCGGTAAACTATTTGGATTTTTTTTTTTAGAAATACAGAAATTTTAAGGTTACTGTGAACGATTTAATAGAGTGGTAGCACTTTTAGAAAAGCCGTAGACATTTTTAGAAATGTTGGTAGAAATTTTTAAAATTGCTGTGAATGATTTTAAAAAGCTGTAGAACTTGTAGAAAAGATGTAGACGTTTTTAAGGGAGATAAAAAACTGAATAACTTTTAGAAAGGCCGTAACGTTTTTGAAAATCATGTACATTTTTAATATTACTGTAAACGATTTAAAAGAGCTGTAGTAGGTTTATAAAAGCCGTATAAGTGTTACGATTTAAAAGAGCTGTAGCATTTTTAAAAAAGGTAATATCACTTTTGGAAAATACGTAGATGTTTTTAGAAATACAAACAATTTTAAAGGTACTGTAAACGATTTAGAAGAGCTGCAGCAGGTTTATAAAAGTCGTAGAAGTCTTTAAACATTTTTGTAGACATTTTTAAGGTTACTGTGAACGATTTAAAAGAGCTGTAGCATTTTTAAAAAAGCAATATCACTTTTGGAAAATACGTAGATGTTTTTAGAAATACAAACAATTTTAATGGTACTGTAAACGATTTAGAAGAGCTGCAGCAGGTTTATAAAAGTCGTAGAAGTCTTTAAAAATGTTTGTAGGCATTTTTAAGGTTACTGTGAACGATTTAAAAGAGCTGTAGCATTTTTAAAAAAGAAATATCACTTTTGGAAAATACGTAGATGTTTTTAGAAATACAAACAATTTTAAAGGTACTGTAGCGATTTAAAAGAACTGGAGCAGATTTATAAAAGTCGTAGAAGTCTTTAAAAATTTTTGTAGACATTTTTAAGGTTACTGTGAACGATTTAAAAGAGCTGTAGCATTTTTAAAAAAAATCAATATCACTTTTGGAAAATACGTAGATGTTTTTAGAAATACAAACAATTTTAAAGGTACTGTGAGCGATTTAAAAGAACTGGAGCAGATTTATAAAAGTCGTAGAAGTCTTTAAAAATTTTTGTAGACATTTTTAAGGTTACTGTGAACGATTTAAAAGAGCTGCAGCAGGTTTATAAAATCTGTAGAAGTCTTTAAAAATGTTGGTAGACATTTTTAAGGTCACTGTGAACGATTTTAAAAGATCTGCAGTATTGTTTAAGAAAACTAAACCGTTTATTAAACAGTAATTGACCTACCTCATATTCTTTGCTAGTCAGAACCGGCTTCCTGAGCACCGGCAAGTTAGACATACTGGTCGGCGTTTCGCTCTTGATTTCACCGGCCATCCCCGGCGCGTTGGGACTGTTCCCCGCGCTCTCCATGCTCTTGGGGGGCTGATCCGGCGTGTGGGTCTTATCGGCCGGCGATGGTTCGTCGTTGGGGGGGTGCGGTGAGAGCGTCGGCATCGTTTGGTCGCCCGGGGGGACCGAAGCGGGCTGCGAATGAGGATTGGGTAACGGCGATGGTGCTACGGAAGGCGGCGTGCCCACAGATGGTATCGCCGTAGATTCTTGAGTGCGCGGGTAAGACGGCGGTCCACCTTGGGGAGTGTACGAGCCGCTGGCGCATCTGAAACGTCAAAATAAACGTGCGAATTAGATTAATTTACTGATGACGTTTTCGTGACGATTAATGAGAAGCTTCTGAAATGGCCGTGTCGATGTTGACGATCTTCCTGGTCGCGTGGCTTTATGGATGAAACGATTTTTGTGACAATTATTACCAGTACCAAAGCTGTGGATTATTTCTTTTAAATGGACGTAATTTTTCTATCTATAATCTGCAGATTTTTTTTTTTTTAATAATTACTAAATTAATATATCTATTTAATTCCATTTAGCGGAAATAACCCATTATGCAATAGAGATAATAGAATAAAATGAATGTAAAAAATAAAACATGCTTGTAAGATACCAATTTTTTTTATTATTTTGGGCATAAAAAACCATAACCTCATGATATGTCAGTAAGAAATGCCTCGTTATGCGTTTTATTAGTAATACCGTTGTTTTGTTAATATTCGCAAAAAAATTAAAATTACCAATCACCGTGACACCTGTTTCAAATATTTCTGATAATAGTGATTCACGAAAAATTCTGTTCGTGCATTTATGTTTGGTGAAAATGCGAAAATTTCTGATTGTACCCAAAATAAGAGCAAAAATAAAACAAACATATTACAGCACAAAATCTATGACAAATGGTTGTGGATATTTGAAACAAAAACAACCACAACTTTCTTAGTCAATTATAAATTTGCCAATGACAGGTTGACAGGTGTAACATTGAGGAATTTTATTTTTTCGTAAATGGTGCAGAATTCATGATAATGAAGTCAAGAGCCCGTCACCCCTCTTTTTTATATTTTGGACAATTTTTAAGTAAACTAGTTTATAAAAATATTGTCGATTCTTTTGCAACAGTTGTAGATATTTTTCAAATACTGTACACACTTTTAAAATAACTATATACATTTAGACAGTAGTCATTAGTTTAAAAAAGCTGGAAACATTTTATTAATAAACCTGTAGATATCTTTGACAATTGTATTTCAATTTAGAAAAGCTGCAAACATTTTTAGAAAAATCGTGGATAACTTTAGAAGTTACAAATCGTTTTTAGAACAACCGTAGATACTTTTAGAATAACTATAGATATTTGTATAACTTTAAACAGGTACTTCACAGATATTTTAAAAATACTTATTTCCGCAAAATACATCGTTATTTCTTCAGTAGCATATTTAGAAAAGCTGTAGAATTTTGTTGATGCCAGCTATATTTGTTTTTAGAATAACTGTAGAAATTTTTAAAACAAATTTAAATAGGTACGTCACAAATATTTTAAAAATACTTATTTTCTCAAAATACATCGTTATTTTTTCAGTAGTATATTTAGAAAAGCTGTAGAATTTTGTAGATGGCAGCTGTATCTGTTTTTAGAAAAGCTGTAGTCATTCTTAGAAAGTCCGTGGATAATTTTAAAGTCACAAAATAATTTAAGAACAACCCCAAATACCTTTAGAAAAGCCACAGATATTTTTAGACCAATATTTTTAGAAAAACTGTTAATATTTAACAACTTACAGAAACGATATAGATATTTTTAAAATATCATATTTTTTCTCATAATACATCGTTATTTCTTCAGTAGCATATTTAGAAAAACTGTAGATCTTTGTTAAGGAAAGGTGTATTTAGTTTTAGAAAAGCTGTAGACGTATTTATAAAGTCCGTGGATAATTTTAGAAGTCACATTTAGAACAATTGTAGAAACTTTTAGAAAATCCATAGATGTTTTTAGAACTTACATAAATATTTTTAGAATTACTGTAGATATTTTTATAACAACTTTAAACTGAAACGTTGAAGATATTTTAAAAAGCCATATTTTTTCTCAAAATAAATCGTTATTTCTTCAGTAGCATATTTAAAAAAACGGTAGACCTTTATTGAAGAAAGATGTATTTGGTTTTAGAAAAACTGTAGACGACTTCAGAACAACCCTCTAGAGACCTTTAGAAAAGTCATATATATTTTTAGAACAGACAGATCTCTTAGAAAAACTGTTGACAGCTGTAAATGCTTTTAGAAAAGCTGTAGACGTACTTATAAACCCCGTGTAAGGGTTTAGAGGTAAAAAGACTACTTTAGGAGCGACATAGATTTTTTAAGAAACACTAGATAGTTTAATAGCAGTTTTAACAAAAACATTGTCGATATTTTCAAAATCGCCTTTTTACAAATATATATTCGTTTTGTAAGTAAATTTATAAAATCTGTTGGCAGTTGTTTACAGCTGTATAAATGCTGAGGTATTTATAAAGACCTTAGGTAGTTTTAGAAGTAACAAAACGATATTAGAAAAACTGTATAAATTTATAGAAAAACGGTAGATATATTTAGTAAAGTAAAGATGTAGATCTTTTTAGAAAGACTGTAGATTTTTTTAGAAAAGTTGCAGATATTTTTAGAACATTGCCCACATTTTTTAGATAAGCTGTACATCATTTTAGAAAAGCAGTGGATGATTTTAGAAAAGCTGTAGATGTACTAAAACAGCCTTGGATATTTTTTAGAAACATTAATTTTTCTAAATGCAGTAAGCAATTTTTCGTTTTTTTTTCTTTTTCCTTAAAAGTTGTCCAAATTATAAAGTACGAAGCGAGTGACCAACCTTTCGGATGCGAGTAGTGGTAAGAGGGGCGAGCGCCTGTGAAACGGCACTCGCGCTCTGCCCGCCTTCCCGCTGGACCGGGGAGATGTCCCACTGCCAGTCGTCCATTTATTTGAACCACTAGGAGGTCCTACGGACTTTCTACACCTGCAAGTTTTCGTAATTTTTTATACCAAATCGATTATTTCCGTAGCACAAATACATTTTGCAGCGATTTTAGAAAAACTGTAGATATTTTTGAAAGGATCTGTAGATTTAAAAAAAAAATGTACATACAGTTTTACAAATAATACAGACGTTTTAAAACTATTTTTTGATAAAATGCCTTTGTGTTACGTGAGAAATTACTGTTTTCGGTATTTTTTATCTACTGTCTACAATAAATAAGTTGTTCATTTAATTTTTAAACTAAATTTGGCAGAAGCTCTGCAAAAATTAAAAAAATAAGCAAAAATCAACAGTACACAATAGATCTGAAAAGGTCGAGGTGGGGGAGGCCACATGGCCCATAGTCCTAATTAAATCTAACAGTACACTATATTAATAAAAGAAAAATAGAATATTCACAAAAATTAAAATATTTTTTTTTAATGTGACTTACTTTGAACAGGTACAATTGGTTTTCCGCGTCGGTTCTACAAAATCCCAGTTTCCACTGAATTCCTTGTCTTGTTGCTGTTGTTGCTGACCACTATTCTGACTATTATTACCTAAAATGCACTCTTGCCACGATCGTTCTGGCAACACTGTACCGGCCGTTAATTCTCTGGACATCGAACTAAAATGTTCCACAGAAACCTAAAATAAACAAAAAAATCACGTGACATTTTTAAAAGTGTAAACGTTTTTAGAAAGATACAACGCTTTTAGAAAATCTGTATATACTTTTAGAAATGCTGCAAGACTTTTGGAATAAAACATTTTTAGAAATGTTGCAACACATTCAGAATAACTAAATACTTTTTAGGAGGCAGTATATAAGGGTATAACGTTATTAGAAGATCTGTAGATTACAATACTTTTAGAATGTTTAGAAATGTTGCAACACATTCAGAGTAACTGAACGCTTTTTAAGATGATGCAGCGCTTTCAAAAGATCTGTCGAAACTTTTAGAAATACTGCAAAGCTTTTTTAGAAAGGCTAAATACTTTTATATGTCTAGAAATTAAGAAGAAAAAAATGCTGGAACGATTTTAGAAGCACTGTATAAGGGTATAACGTTATTAGAAGATCTGTAGACTACAAGACTTTTGGAATTTTTAGAAATGTTGCAACACATTCAGAGTACCTGAACGCTTTTTAAGAGGATGCAGCGTTTTCAAAAGATCTGTCGAAACTTTTAGAAATACTGCAAAGCTTTTTTAGAAAGGCAAAATACTTTTATACATCTAGAAATTAAGAAAAAAAAAATGCTGGAACGATTTTAGAAGCACTGTATTATAAGGGTATAACGTTATTAGAAGATCTGTAGATTACAAGACTTTTGGAATTTTTAGAAATGTTGCAACACATTCAGAATAACTGAATGCTTTTTAAGAGGATGCAGCGCTTTCAAAAGATCTGTCGAAACTTTTAGAAATACTGCAAAGCTTTTTTAGAAAGGCTAAATACTTTTATACGTCTAGAAATTAAGAAGAAAAAAATGCTGGAACGATTTTAGAAGCACTGTATAAGGGTATAACGTTATTAGAAGATCTGTAGATTACAAGACTTTTGGAATTTTTAGAAATGTTGCAACACATTCAGAATAACTGAATGCTTTTTAAGAGGATGCAGCGCTTTCAAAAGATCTGTCGAAACTTTTAGAAATACTGCAAAGCTTTTTTAGAAAGGCTAAATACTTTTATACGTCTAGAAATTAAGAAGAAAAAAATGCTGGAACGATTTTAGAAGTACTGTATATGGGTATAACGTTATTAGAAGATCTGTAGATTACAAGACTTTTGGAATTTTTAGAAATGTTGCAACACATTCAGAATAACTGAATGCTTTTTAAGAGGATGCAGCGCTTTCAAAAGATCTGTCGAAACTTTTAGAAATACTGCAAAGCTTTTTTAGAAAGGCTAAATACTTTTATACGTCTAGAAATTAAGAAGAAAAAAAATGCTGGAACGATTTTAGAAGCACTGTATATGGGTATAACGTTATTAGAAGATCTGTAGATTTTACGAGTTTTTTTTTTTTTGAAAAATTAATCGTTTTAGCACATTTTAGAATAGGATCCCTCTAATAAATTCTATACATATTTTTAATATCAGCTGCAGATAATTTAAGACAACTGTAGACGTTTTAGAACAGACGTGACTTACCGTATAAGGTCCAGGTTGGGGCACCCGACTGCTGATCTTAACCGGACTCGGGGGCGGCGTCTGTACCATCGCTACCGGACTGCCTGCCCTCTTTTCCTGCCGGTCCTCGGTGGGGCTGACCGGCGGCAGTCCGTTGAGGACCGCCGAGTTGGTACCTTCGTCCATGTCGGTGACAAGTACGTAGCAAGAGGGATACGGCATTTTTACGCCGCGTACGATCACCTCCACGACGCTGCTATCAGTCAAGGTGTTGCTTTTGTCCAAAGGGTAGAACTGACTCCAATCGTCGAGCAGGCGAGTCGTGGCTTCGGGTGATTTGAAGCTGTGGCCCGTTAGAGTTCCGGAAAGACCGAAAGGGGCTAGGATTACTGGAAACGAAGAATATGTTAGCTTCAATTATCGAAATCTTGGGATCTTAATAATACTGCATCGTTTAAAAAGCTGTAGATAATAAAGATACAATTCTGGATATATATTTTATGTTTTAGAACAGAGTTCTTTTTTTATTGGCAGATTGTAAAAAAAAAGTTCCCAACAGCAAAAATCTGTCCAATTTGACTAGCAAATAAAAATATGACAAAATATCCGTTTACAACTAACCTTTGAGTCCCGCAGAGCTAGCCTGCGCCTGCTGCACGTGCCACCTGGACAGCTTCCTCACGGGCGGATGTTGCCTGACGTCCACCGATGCGCACACGCTGCTCTCGCCGTGCACGAAAAAAGCGAACGAAAAACTGAGATGCGCGTTGCCGAACGAACCTTCGCTGGCGTGACCGCCGCCTAACAGACCGGCCGAACGTTTGACCGGAGCGCCGCACGGCTGCACGAACCACTTGCCGAGTCTGATGAAGTCGCGCGACAGCAGGCAGCGCTCGATGAGATTGTGCAGCGCTTTGAATAGCAGCGAACGACATTCGTACGATAAGCCGGATTCCCAGGAGCCTTGTTCACAGTCTGTAACAAAGAAAAATCAATTAATTTAATGAATAAATTTATAATAATAATACTTTTATTCCATTGAGACCATTTACATGATATTGGAAAAGTCAAGAAGAACATTAAAAAAGATATGTGTGTGTACAACAATTTTAAAGCAAAATACGAAGATAAATAAAAAGTACTAAAAGTTACAATCCAAAAATTCAGCTGTATTATAAAATGCGCATTGTGATAAGAGATCTGTGAGAGATTTTTTAAATGCATTAAAATTTTGATTTTCTTTTAAGGAAATTGGTAGTTTATTATATAGCTGTATACCAGTATAAGATGGACTCTTTTCAAAAAAACGCTGTCCGGTGAGGGGGTATATGTAGCAGATTACCATGTCTAGTTTGATAGTTATGATTATCAGCACTTTTAATGAAGTCGATCAGTTTCTTTCTAACGAATAGAATATTTTTATAGATGTAAATACAGAGAAGAGTTAATATTTTGTATTGTTTAAAGTAATCTCTATGAGAGGTGCGCTTATGAATCCCGAGAACAAGACGTATTATTTTTTTTTTTTGTAAAATAAACAATTTTGTAGAAAATCTAGTATTTCCCCATATTATAACATTATAAGACAAATGTGAGTATGTCACTGCATAGTAAATATTTATTAGCAGTCAGCAATTCAAAAATTTGGTTAGAAAACAATGTGTATTTAAATAAAAAAAACTAATATGTAATTGTTTGCCCTTAATAATAGGATGGACCCTACTGGTTTAACATTATTGTTGTACAAAGTGTGGTAGGTAAAAATATCCAATTTTTATTTTTCAATGTTGTTATTAATCGAAATAATCGACTAATTGAAAATAATCATTTAATCGAAAATAATGGATTATATCAATTAATAAAATAACCAATGATGGATTAAAAAAAAAATAATTGGCTATAAGATTATCGATTTAAAAAAAATAATCGAAATTAATCTATTTATCGATTAATAATCGATTATTTTGCTTATCCCTAGTTGTTATCACGTCATTTCAATATTATTATTATACAGAGGACGTCAAAGGTACGTTCCTTGAATAATTTTTCAATTTTTTTTGATTTAAAACAATATAACTCTCTCTTACATCAAAATAATAGACTTTTGGATGTAGTATTTTCAAATCTGTAATATGAGGTTGTTTCAGCGCCAGATATATTGTTAAATGAAGACAAATAGCATCACCCAGCACTGCTCTTAAAACCGACTATTGCGTACTTGATTCAATGTTATAAAGGATTCGATTCAAGAACAAGAATTAAACACCTATGTACTTCACAAAAGATTAGCGAGTACAAATTCACTGCACGGTGTTGCCAGCTGAAATTTATTTTAAAATGCAACCACTGCACTGATACGGTAGATATGAGGTAAGCGCCAATAATTCCCGGCCTGACAATGAAGAAGGCAAAGTACAACAACAAATTTTTATTATTTTTCAATGTAATCTCCCTTAACCTCAATGCACTTCTTACAACGTTTAATTAATAATTCAATCCCTTTAAAAAAATATTTTTTCGGTTTATCCTCAAAATGGGCCAAAACAGCTTCTTGTAACTCAAAATCGTCCCGAAAACGTCGCCCGCGAAAGTCCTTTTTCAAATAACTAAACAAATAATAATCGCTGGGAGCCATATCTGGACTATAAAGAGGGTGATCTATATTTTGAAACCCGCAATATAGGATGGCAGCTTGTGTAACGCCAGCAGTAAGAACGGGCGCATTGTCGTGCAACAACCGCACGCCTCTGGTTAATTTTCCTCGATGTTTTTCCCGAATACATTCCCGAAACTTATGAAGTAATGCGGCATAATATGTGCCATTAACGGTGGTATTTGTCTCTTTAAAATCAATCAGAAGGATTCCTTTACAATCCCAAAAGATCGTAGCCATCACCTTTTTCGTTGATTGGCAGACTCTAAATTTTCGTTGGGGGCTTCACCCTTACGGCGCCACTCCATTGATTCCCTTTTCGACAGAGGATCATAATAAAGAACCATAGTTTCATCTCTAGTGACTATTGTTTCCAACACGGGGTTCGGATCATCTCCACACAGTTCCAAAAACGATCGAGCACACTCGACACGACATTGCTTCTGAATCGCTGAAAGGTGTTTGGGCACCCATCTTGCACTAACCTTATGCATACCCAAATGATCATGGAGGATTCGGCGAACAGTGGTATCAGAAAGCTTGGTCATTTCTGCCATTTCCTTGACCTTCAAACGTCGGTCACTTAGCACCAGGTTTTCCACAAGGGCTACTTTGTCCTCCGTTATCACCTCCACTGGCCGTCCAGGTATTTCGTCTTCTTCAAGGGATTCCTGACCCATGCGAAAACGTTTTGCCCATTCCTTCACTACCGAATAGGAAGGGGAACTTTGGCCATATACGCCGTCGAGTCTTTCTTTAATAATTTTAGGTGTAAGCCCTTCTTTTGTTAAAAATTTAATAACCGCTCTGTACTCAATTTTCGTCACCTGAGACATTTTCGGAGATACTTTAGTTCAAAATGCTGACAATTAAAAACTATTTGACGTGAGTCGCTTATTTTGTTACCACAGCCTACTAAGGTTTGTAGTTATAAAATGTTAAACTTTTATCCTGATAAAATATCTGCCACTATGTCAGGCCGGGAATTATTGGCGCTTATCTTAGTAGGACAAACTTTTATGTTCCATTTAGGTTTTGAAGTTATAAAATTATTTATTTTTTTTAATTATAGGTGGGACACCTCAGAGGACAGATGAATTTAGTATATTAACTAAAAACAATTTTGAAAAATGTTTTTCGGTGGATAGGTACCAGTGAGAACCCTATTAAAAAGCAAGAACAGCCTGATCTTATTTCAAGATTATTAATTTCTTCAATGAAACTAGCCTATAATTCGACCAAAATCAATATATTTATGTCAAAGATCATATTATTAATGTAACAAATTTAGTTGTACTGGATTTAAGAACAAGGTATTATTGAATATAAATAAAGCATATTTTTCTACGTTCATGCAAAAAACAAAACTTTATTGAACTATATTTAGTGAAAAAAATTGGTTCTTTATTGCACTAGTGCAATAAAATTTTTATTTTATTGCACTCATCTGTCATTTTACTACAGCGTTTTATGATCATGACAAACATAAATATTCAAATAAATGCCAAATATTTAGTCCATTTTCATTTTCTGTGTTACGTTTTAAAAACAATTACATATTTTATATTATTTTCAATCATTTAATAAATAAATTAATGAAAAATGTATTTTATTAAAAATGTCATTACAAATTAGGAACACAAACGTAAATAAATGCCTCAAACAAAGGTACACGATCACGGCTACTGTGATTTGGAGAATACAACTGCAGTTCTATAAAACATTCTTTGGTTTTTGCATGAACGTAGAAAAAATATTGTATGCAACTCGTGCAAAAAGTGTTTATTGCACTTGTTGCATAAATAACTATTAAAACAATTGTAAGACTATTTTCATTTAAGATGTACATAATACTTCAATTGAGCAATATATACTCTTCATTTAATTAGAGGTATTTTTTTTAGGGCAAGTTGATTCTAATCTTGAAGCAAGGCTTATTAGCTATTGTTGAACAAGTATTACTAGAATTTCAAATCGAGACGAGTTTTACTTGCGGATATGCAAACACAACAAAGCATTGAAATAAGACCATTAATCTCTAATATAGTACACCTTTTTTAGTTGTCTAAATTTATACAAAATCATATGCAGTTTTTTTTATCACAAAATTTAAATTTGAATCTATATATACCCCTAAGTATTTCATCTCAGTTACAGATTGGATTTTTATCACGTCTTCCTGTAACTGAATTTTCAGGATTTCAAAAGGCGAAGAGCCAGTAATGTTGCAACTAAACGGTAAGAAATTTGTTTACTGTCAATAACTTTTGATCGAACTAGTTCTTTATAAGACGAAAATCAAACTGAACTTTGGTTTTCAGCTCAATCCAAATTTCCGCGTCATAAAAAATTGCAGTATCATCGGCATATTCAATAATGTCTCCAGCACTGTTGAGATTAAATAAATCAATAACATATAAATTAAATAAGACAGGGCCCAAAACAGTGCCTTGAGACACACCATATTTTATATACTGACGATCACTGAGATCGTTGCCCACTTTTACTAATTGTTTTCTTTTTTTTAAGGTAATTTTCAAAAATGTTTAAACAATTTCCTCTTATTTCGTTTCTATCTAAAGTTCTTAATAGTAGATAATGATCAACAGTGTCAAACGCTTTGCTAACTAAGGTCAATAAAAAGGCAAAGAATATATTAAATTTGGTAAATAATCATCGTGAATAAAATTCCTTCCTATCTGCGTAGTTCTCGATAATTTTTACCCGAACAAAATCGATTGATAACACGCTCGAGAGCGTGTGGGTGTCACTTCTATTGACGTTCCAAAATACCGATACCAACACCGCGCGCCCACCTCTCTCCGCCCGAGCGGATACCGATAGCGGCGAATCAGAGGCGCAAGAAGGCCAACCTACTTGTCTCAACTCTTCAAATACCCGACCGGCACGGGCGATGCGACGTTGCCGGCTGCTCGTCGACAGCTCGATCGACTGCCGTACCGCGTAACTGATAGCTCTTATCGTGTGCCGCTTCGCCGTGCGGGCGGTACGAACTTATTTTGCCATCGATTTGCGTGTATCTTTCTCTCCCGTAACGACCGCGTGTAGCTGCAAGATACCGAAGTTTGTGTCCCACGTGTGGCGCGCCGGGCACCGTTGCCAGGTGTAGGTTTGACGCATGGGATGGTTATGTATCCGCCCTTTTTGGAGGTTATTTGTATGAAAAAGAGGTTTATTGTACGAATTTACTTATTGCCTAGCGTCATTTCACTCCATCACGCGTCATATTTCGAATGGGCTGTGTTTAATGAAATACAGATAATTTTTTTGTTACGTATTGTTTTTTAAACGACAAAGTACA